CATCCTACAACCTACCACCACTACAACCTGCCACCACCACAACCATTACCATCCTACCACCACCACCACCATTACCATCCCACAACCACCACCACCACCACAACCCATTACCATCCCAAACCTACCACCATACAACCTGCCACCACCACCACAACCATTACCATCCACAACCTGCCACCACTACAACCTGCCACCACCACAACCATTACCATCCCATAACCCAACACCACTACAACCTACCACCACCACCACAACCATTACCATCCTTACAACCTACCACCACTACAACCTACCACCACAACCATTACCATCCCACAACCTACCACCACCACCACAACCATTACCATCCTTACAACCTACCACCACCACCACAACCATTACCATCCTTACAACCTGCCACCAATACCACCTACAACCTACCACCACAACCATTACCATCCCACAACCTAACACCACACAACCTGCCACCACCACAACCATTACCATCCTTACAACCTACCACCACCACCACAACCATTACCATCCTTACAACCTACCACCACTACAACCTGCCACCACCACAACCATTACCATCCTTACAACCTACCACCACCACAACCACTACCACTATATATACATACAAAAGATAAATAAAGACGCACCACCATTCCTCCTGTCTGCTTTAGGCCCTGGTTAAATTTGGTGTGTGTGTGTGTGTCTATAAGGTAACCCACCAAACACGATAGTTCAAGTCGAGGGTTATACAATGTTGGTGGCGTGACAATTGATTTTATAGGTTCATAGCTACGGTGTACACTCATCCATAACACACACGCACACACTCACACACACACACCGTCTCGTTACCAGCAATATGAACTTGACTCCTTAAAGGGAAAATGACAACAACGAAGTTAGTTAACCACATTACTCATCTCAACTCCTGACCGCAGCCCCCTGCACTGGCGATAACTGCTGCTGCTCCTCTGCCTCCGTCGCCCCCTTCTATAGTATAGGGTTAACACGAGGTCCTCTCTCTCTCTCTTTCTCTCTCTCACCGGATGATAACTGTTGCTTCACGAGGTCATGTCAAGCGGAGGAAGCACCGCTAACACGAGATTATTATTATGATAAACACGAAGGAGAGGACGGCTTCACCCTCAACCGGATCCCTGACACACACACACACACAAGAACATAAGAAAATAAGGAGTCTGCAATAGGCCGGTTGGTCTGTGCATGGCAGCTCCTGTCGAGAGTTACTACCACTCTCTATCATCCATGAATCTATCTAGCCTCCTTTTGAAACTTTCCAGAGTTCCCGCACTTACTACAAAGTTGCTAAGCTTGTTCCACTCGTCCACCACCCTATTTGTGAACCAGTTTCTTCCTATCTCCCTCCTAAACCTAAACTTATCCAACTTGAATCCGTTGCTCCGAGTCCTATCCTGCTCGGATATTATAAGAACTTTATCTATATCCCCTTTATTGATTCCTTTCACCCACTTAAATACTTCTATCATATCTCCCCGCACTCTTCGTCTTTCTAGGGAATGCAAGTTAAGTTTCTTTAACCTATCTTGATATGGAAGGTTTCTAAGTCCCGGAATCATTTTCAATCTTCGCTGCACCGACTCCAGTGAATTGATATCCATTCTATAATAAGGGCACCAGAACTGAACCGCATAATCGAGGTGCGGCCTGACTAGCGCAAGATATAGATGCAATAAGACCTCTGCACTCTTATTACTTACACTTCTAATTATTATATACCATATTTGTATCACTTATATTACGTGTACATCATTTGTAAATCAAGAGAAACATTCCTCAATTATGTAATTGTATAATTTCAGCCTTCCGGCTGCTATGCTCTTTCAATAAACAGTTAATTATTATTATTATTATCATTATTACACAACACACCCCCACATGTACACACACACACACACACACCCACAAGTACACACACACACACCCCCACAAGCACACACACACACACCCCCACATGTACACACACACACACCCACACACACACACACACCCCCACAAGCACACACACACACACCCCCACATGTACACACACACACACACACACCCACAAGTACACACACACACACCCCCACAAGTACACACACACACCACCACACGTACAGACAAAGAACCACAATCACCTGGTGACAACCGCAGTGGTGAGGCTTGAGCGAGCATCACCATCATAATCATCCCCCGAGACAGCATCACTATCCTGTGTGTGTGTGTGTGTGTGTTTAATCATCCGGTGATATAAGCTGGGAGGGGAGGGGCTAATATCCACGTGATCCATGTAACTTTTTTCCTCTCATCATTTTACCTTTAACGTTAATTAATCACCTTAGAAGCGACCATTACATGTACCTAAGATACACGTCGTACACACACACACACACACACACACACACACACACACACACACAGGGAAGTTCAGTAATGGTCCCGATATCCGGCTGAACGCGACGAATGGGTCTCTACAATGTTAGGTCTTGGATTGGATTGGTTTACGTTAGGTTTGGTTACATTTAGGTTGGGTTACGTTAGGTTTGGTTACATTTAGGTTGGGTTACGCTAGGTCTGGTTAGATTTGGGTTGGGGTAAATTATGTAGGTTTAAGTTGGATTAGTTTTAGATTAGGTTAAGGTTAGGTTAGATTACGGTGATTAGGTTAAGTTAGGCTCGATTAGATTTAGATTGGGTTCAAGTTAGATTAGATTTAGATTTGGCCAGGTTAGATTAAATCAGATCAAGTTAGGTTAAAGATGGCTGTCACGGTGAAATCAGGTGAAGCAGCCTCGACCCCACAGATGAAGCACAATACGGTACACTAGGAGTCAAACGTGTTCTCTCTCTCCCTGCCAATATGAAGCACCCTCGACCACCCCCCCCCCCTATGAGATAACAACAGTCAGGATCAAGTCAGCTCGGAGACTCATTCCCGTGACTCGATAAGCTTTTCGCGGCGAGGAACGAACCATTGTCCCCCGATTGAACTTCCTAACCCAACCCAACCCAACCTAACCCAACCCAACCTAACCCAACCCAATCCCAACCCAACCCAACCCAACCCAACCCAACCTAACCTAACCCAACCCAACCCAACCCAACCTAACCCAACCCAACCTAACCCAACCCAACCTAACCCAACCTAACCTAACCCAATCCAACCCAACCTAACCCAACCTAACCTAACCTAACGCAAACATTAACCTAACCAAACATAAACTAACACAAACCTAACCAAACATAACACTAACCTAACCAAACATAACCTAACACAAACCTAACCAAACATAACACTAACCTAACCAAACATAACCTAACACTGACCTAACACCAATCTAACAAACAAAACTTAAGACTAACCTAACCATACATAACACTAACCTAACCAAACCTCACCTCACCTAACCCTAACCAAACCCAACGCTAACAGCACAGGTATCGTTAGGGTGGCTAATCAACAGGTGAAATAAGCTGATGTGCTAACAACAGGTAACCCCCCACCCCACCACGTGTTATCACCGGCTTTCACCTGAGCACCTTCGTTAACGTCAAATTCACTCTTAACAACGAGCCACATCGAACAAGCAATATTGAATCACAAGGGGACAGCAAGACGGGACAGGATCGATACTGGTTCAATACTGGCAGGCGTCATGGTTTAAAACGTGTTTATCCTCTGTTCTAGATCTGTCTGGGGCTTATTGTGCTGTTAATTAATACTTTATGTCTGAGGGTTGTCCACCACGACCCTCCATTCTGTACTATATCAGACTGTCATTACTAATCATCCGGGAGTTCTCTTATCTGAGGGTTGGCGACCACAGCCCTCTACTCTAAAACATGTCCAGGCCGTTTTACCAACCCTCTCACATTTTGTCCCTCTCCTACCCTCGATTTTACCCTAACATATCGACCATTATCTTCTCGCCCCTAACCTAACCTATCCTAACATCACCTAACATAACCCAACTTAATATCACCTAACAAGACCCAACTTAAAATCACCGAACAAAACCCAACTTAACATCACCTAACAAGACCCAACTTAATATCAACTAACAAAACCCAACTTAACATCACCTAACAAGACCCAACTTAATATCAACTAACATAACCCAACTCAACCTAACATAACCTGCCTTAACATGACGGGTAAGTGAATATGTGTCGCTTCTTATGAGACGAATCAATATCCTGTCAGACATATCTTATCAACAGGGACCAAGGCGGTGTTAGTGAATGACGGAGGAAGATGCCGGCCTTATCTCCTCTATCATGGGGAAGTGTGTTTACATCTCTCCCTTACTGTATATCAGCTACGCACATCCACACAAACCCCTTCCCTCACCACCCACCCACAGAAACCCCTCTCCTCACCACCCACCCACAGAAACCCCTTCCCTCACCACCCACCCACAGAAACCCCTCTCCTCACCACCCACCCACAGAAACCCCTTCCCTCACCACCCACACAACCTTCCCCAGTCAAGTGTAATATATTCACGGATATTTCTGAATAGGTTAATATATTCACGGATATTTCTGAATAGGTTAAGTTATTTCCTATTGAATCTATTTATTCACTTCTATCAGTTTTCCAGTTATTTTTTATTTAAGTTATATTCGTTCAATTAAGTTCAGTTGCAGGTTAAGAGCGGTGAAAACAAGTTAAGTGTAGGAGTATGGAGAACAAATGGTCACCCCCCCCCCCACAACACTGTCTATGCGAGCTCATCATCATCACTATCGTCATCATCATCACTATCATCATCATCATCACAATCTTTAATCCCACAAACAACTTTTTTATCATTATTTTACATCATAACAAATCTTGAATTATTTTTTTTTACCAATGTGCCAAAAGTTAGATCCAGCAGAGCTTATGTGTATATATTTGTACACACACACAAAGTATACATACACGTGTACACCCAAGTTAAGACACAGACAAGAATGCAGGTACACAATGCAGTACTCACCTGGTTGGGCTTGCGGCTCTCGACACCTTGGATGTCTAGGTAATGGAAGTGTTGATCTACCTGTGGGGAGAGAAACACACCATCAGTGGACACACATACAACGATGATGGTGATGTCAGCCTGTCTTAGTTACAGTATGATGGGATGTTAGTGATGGTGATGTTAGCCTGTCTTAGTTACAGTATGATGGGATGTTAGTGATGATGATGTCAGCCTGTCTTAGTTACAGTATGATGGGATGTTAGTGATGGTGATGTCAGCCTGTCTTAGTTACAGTATGATGGGACGCTAGTGATGGTGATGTCAGCCTGTCTTAGTTACAGTATGATGGGATAGTGATGATGATGTCAGCCTGTCTTAGTTACAGTATGATTAGTGATGTGATGTCAGCCTGTCTTAGTTACCTGTCTTGTACGTGGGATGTTAGTGATGATGATGTCAGCCTGTCATGATGATGTTAGTGATGATGATGTCTGTCTTAGTTACAGTATGATGGGATGTTAGTGATGATGATGATGTCTTAGCCTGTCTTAGTTACAGTATGATGGGATGTTAGTGATGTGATGTCAGCCCTGTCTTAGTTGACAGTATGATGGGATGTTAGTGATGTGATGTCAGCCTGTCTTAGTTACAGTATGATGGGATGTTAGTGATGGTGATGTCAGCCTGTCTTAGTTACAGTATGATGGGATGTTAGTGATGGTGATGTTAGCCTGTCTTAGTTACAGTATGATGGGATGTTAGTGATGATGATGTCAGCCTGTCTTAGTTACAGTATGATGGGATGTTAGTGATGGTGATGTCAGCCTGTCTTAGTTACAGTATGATGGGATGTTAGTGATGGTGATGTTAGCCTGTCTTAGTTACAGTATGATGGGATGTTAGTGATGGTGATGTTAGCCTGTCTTAGTTACAGTATGATGGGATGTTAGTGATGGTGATGTCAGCCTGTCTTAGTTACAGTATGATGGGATGTTAGTGATGGTGATGTCAGCCTGTCTTAGTTACAGTATGATGGGATGTTAGTGATGGTGATGTTAGCCTGTCTTAGTTACAGTATGATGGGATGTTAGTGATGGTGATGTTAGCCTGTCTTAGTTACAGTATGATGGGATAGTGATGGTGATGTCAGCCTGTCTTAGTTACAGTATGATGGGAGTATGATGGGAGCCTGTCTTAGTTACAGTATGATGGGACGCTAGTGATGATGATGTCAGCCTGTCTTAGTTACAGTATGATGGGATGTTAGTGATGGATGTCAGCCTGTCTTAGTTGATGGTGATGTCAGCCTGTCTTAGTTACAGTATGATGGGATGTTAGTGATGGTGATGTCAGCCTGTCTTAGTTACAGTATGGTAAACAGTGATGTCAGCCTGTCTTAGTTACAGCATGATGGGTTAGTGATGATGATGTCAGCCTGTCTTAGTTACAGTATGATGGATGTTAGTGATGGTGATGTCAGCCTGTCTTAGTTACAGCATGATGGGACGCTAGTGATGATGATGTCAGCCTGTCTTAGTTACAGTATGATGGGATGTTAGTGATGGTGATGTTAGCCTGTCTTAGTTACAGTATGATGGGACGCTAGTGATGGTGATGTCAGCCTGTCTTAGTTACAGTATGATGGGATGTTAGTGATGGTGATGTCAGCCTGTCTTAGTTACAGTATGATGAGTGGTGACATAGTTACAGTATGCTATGATGATGATGTCAGCCTGTCTTAGTTAGCAGTATGATGGGATGTTAGTGATGATGATGTCAGCCTGTCTTAGTTACAGTATGATGGGACGCTAGTGATGATGATGTCAGCCTGTCTTAGTTACAGTATGATGGGCCGCTAGTGATGGTGATGTAGCCTGTCTTAGTTACAGTATGATGGGACGCTAGTGATGATGATGTCAGCCTGTCTTAGTTACAGTATGATGGGATGTTAGTGATGGTGATGTTAGCCTGTCTTAGTTACAGTATGATGGGAGTTAGTGATGGTGATGTTAGCCTGTCTTAGTTACAGTATGATGGGACGCTAGTGATGATGATGTCAGCTGTCTTAGTTACAGTATGATGGGATGTTAGTGATGGTGATGTCAGCCTGTCTTAGTTACAGTATGATGGGACGCTAGTGATGATGATGTCAGCCTGTCTTAGTTACAGTATGATGGGACGCTAGTGATGGTGATGTCAGCCTGTCTTAGTTACAGTATGATGGGACGCTAGTGATGATGATGACAATGATAAAAGATGATGATGATAATGTTAGCCTCTCTCTACCAATCACCCGTTAAAACAAGCAACAGACAGAACAACAAAGGAAGTACTACGTATCTGTGTTAGTGGTCACCCAGGGTAGGTAACAAGGAGGAGTGACAGACAAAGATAAACACAGTTCTCGACAGTTTCTACATCTTTCAAATCACCAAAATGTTCAATATCAATCTCTTCCTGGAGAACGGCAGAGCGTCAACAAACACCCAGAGTTATTGGTTAGATATGAAGTAAAATTCTGCCCCGACAAGTAGCAACACTAAGTCATACAGCTGACCTGGATAACACCCTTCTCACATCTGTCTCAAGCCAGGGAGTGAACCCAGGACACACGTGATGAGATACACACATTGCCACTGTACAAACTGTGGGTGTCACAGGTCATACAGTACTATAGGGTGTCCATAAATCTTTAACCTATTCCAAAAACATTATAGACACAACGGTCCAGTCTTATACTACAAGAACGAGTCATAATTTATTTTTTTTAGTTTATTGGGCACCCCCCTACATCCTGTGCAAGGTGAAGTGCAGAAGCACTCACAGCGCCCATCTGGGAAGCATGCTAAGTTCATGCTTGCCTTTATGTCTCATGAGATAAGGGCATAGAAGCCAAAAGGGTCATAGGTTTTTTGTCAAGGGCCTAGAAGCCTGAAAAGTCACAGGTTTTGTCAGCAAGTTATTGGAAGCTCCAACAACTTTCCATGAATACTAATTCGCAACTTTTCGATTTACAACAGGTACCTACTTTACTGCTAGGTGAACAGGGACCAAGGGAGGCTAGGATGTGTGTCCAAACAACTTTCCACCGGCCCGGGAATCAAACCCGTGACATCTCGCTTGCGAGGCAAGAGTGGTACCGCTCTACCACCGGCGCCCCTTGAACGAATCATAATTATTGTCCTTGTATTCGTAGACGTCTACACATGCACTGCGTTCTGTCTATAATATTATTGAGGTCATTAAGGTTTTAAATGGGTCAGATAATCCATATACTGTACAGTATTTACATCTTAAACTGTGAGTCATCATCTTCAGTCAGATGGATTAATGGTGAACTGACTAGTAACAGTTGTAAGGTCACCCAGTCATGCCAACCCACTCCTTTTACACAGCTGAGTGGGCACGAGTGGGCAGGCTCATACAGTACATATACAAATGTTACAGACTCAGCATAAATAAGTAAAATATAATACAGTGCTCAACACAGACTACAGTACACTACAGTACTCTCATGTCTCAACAGGAAACTGACAAGCTCAATGGACTTATCAGCCTAGAGAGGCCATTAAAGGTCAAAGACTGTCCAAATGTCATAGTACTGCACCATTGAACTTCTTATCGACAAGAACTTTAAGAAAAAGTTTTTCAAAGTGGAGTATAATATATTGTTAATGCTCTCAGCTCACTCAACAGCTACGAGATAACCCGACAAATTCTGCACTGTGTAATCTTCCCAAGTTAAACACAACACTAAACCAAATCCAAGGGTGAATCCAGGTTTATATGACTAAACCAAAAATTCTGAATAAAGGACAAATTTGTGCTAACCTGTTTTGCCATCAAATAACTGCAACAATATCCTACATGATTCAACTCTGGGAAATGTGTTTGTTATGCAAATGAAGTCAATAATTTGCAAATTTCAAATACTGTATAATGTAATTACCTTAATAGCAGATGTGGGGTATTAAATTTTTTAGTAAGTATTCAATTATCCATTGTTGATTGATATCACTTCAAAATATTTACTCTTCCACTTGAACACACTGTAAAAATATTTGTTACTGCTATGCAAATTAACTACTTTAAATAGACCACAACGCAACTATCAGGATGAAAAACACATGCTGAAACTACAATACTGAATACTCCTTGAATCTTAACCTAACACATAAAACAACATTGAGAAACCAGAAAGATTTCAGCCAATTATCTAAGTAAACAAATGAATAAACTGCTGATACAAAGTGTTAGCAACAACAGTAATAAACCTTTCCTAATATATTGAACAGAGATACAAACTTGTTGGGCTTTGTCATCACAAGTTGTCACCTGACTTGACCTAGCACTAAATACCTGTTGATATTACCTGAAAGCAGCCTGCGGTGTCTCACTCATGCCACACCTCTACAGTACAGTAGGTCAGGCCCAAACCTAAGCTAACTTAACCATACCAAACAGACACAAATCCAACCATATCCAAACCATTCCTACCAGACCCCAACCTAACCTAACCATTCCTACCAGACCCCAACCTAACCTAACCATTCCTACCAGACCCCAACCTAACCTAACCATTCCTACCAGACCCCAACCTAACCTAACCATTCCTACCAGACCCCAACCTAACCAAACCATACCTACCAGACCCCAACCTAACCTAACCTAACCATTCCTACCAGACCCCAACCCTAACCCTAACCATTCCTACCAGACCCCAACCTAACCATTCCTACCAGACCCCAAATCCCATATCCAAACCATACTACAGACCAACCTAACCTAATCCCTTTAGACCCCAACCCACCTAACCATACCAGACCCCAACCTAACCTAACCATTCCTACCAGACCCCAACCTAACCTAACCATTCCTACCAGACCCCAACCTAACCTAACCATTCCTACCAGACCCCAACCTAACCTAACCATTCCTACCAGACCCCAACCTAACCTAACCTAACCATTCCTACCAGACCCCAACCTAACCTAACCATTCCTACCAGACCCCAACCTAACCTAACCATTCCTACCAGACCCCAACCTAACCTAACCATTACTAACAGACCCTTAACCCAGTCATCCCCAAGTACTATATTTGTTAGCAGTCACGATGTTTAAATACTTGTTCTATGCAGCTGGGGATTAAGCATTACTAATGACTAAACACGTCACTCAGTCACTGTTTGAAGTAACTTTATTAGTGCCAAGGATACAAAATTAAGATCCACCTTTGGATAATTTTTATTTTATTTGTGTACTATAATATACTAGTGATGTGAGGCAAGTACTGGGGGCTTCACTTGCTGTTTGCCCGAGAGGATTGCTAATACTGTATATGTATATCCATTATTTATGCTATCTCTCACTTATCTCTCTCATTCCATCTGCCTCTCTCTCACTCCACCTTTCTCTCCATCCATCTCTCATCCTCTTTCTCACTCCATCCATCTCTCATCCTCCCTCCATCTCCCTCTTTCTCCAGTCATTTCCCTCTCTCCATTCATCTCTCTCCCTCCACCTCTCTCTCACTCTCCCTCCACTTCCATCTCTCACTCTCCCTCCACTTCCATCTCTCACCTTCCCTCCATCTCTCTCAACAGTTACATTGCCAAAACTCTGAGGCTACGAGCAAGTGACCCCATCCCACCCAGTACAGTACTTACAAAATGGCATATGAATCTCTGCCCCATGTGTAAAATAATAATAATAATAATAATAATAATAATAATAATAATAATAAAAATAATAATAATAATAATAATAATAATAATAAAGGTTTACTGATACATATAATAACCAATTTCGATTTAATGCAGTAGAGAATGATTATTAAAATGGTTGTGGTTTGTATATATACTGTAGTACTGTACCCTATGATCCAGCCAATGTAGAGGAGGAGGAGATAAACTATGAGACTCTCCGGTAGACAACAAGACACACTATGAGACTCTCCGGGAGACAACAAGACACACTATGAGACTCTCCGGTAGACAACAAGACACACTATGAGACTCTCCGGGAGACAACAAGACACACTATGAGACTCTCCGGTAGACAACAAGACACACTATGAGACTCTCCGGTAGACAACAACACACACTATGAGACTCTCCGGTAGACAACAAGACACACTATGAGACTCTGGTAAACAACAACACACACTATGAGACTCTCCGGTGAACAACAAGACACACTACTGAGACTCTCCGATGACAACAACACACACTCCCGAGACTCTCGGTAGACAACAACACACACTGTAAGACTCTCCGGTAGACAACAAGACACACTAGAGACTCTCCGGAGACAACAACACACTTCTCGGGGAGACAACAACACACGCCTGAGACTCTCCGATGGGCAACAACACACACTATGAGACTCTCCGGTGAGCAACAACACACACTATGAGACTCTCATTGAGCAACAACACACATATAGACTCTCCGGGGAGACAACAACACACTATAAGAGACTCTCCATTGAGCAACAACACACACTATGAGACTCTCCCACATTGAACAACTAACACACACACTATAGAGACTCTCCAGTAGACAACAAAGACACACCATAAGAGACTCTCCGGGGGAACAACAACACACACTACGAGACTCTCCGAGGAGACAACAACACACACTATGAGACTCTCCATTGAGCAACAACACACACTATGAGACTCTCCAGTGAACAACCAACACACACTAGAGACTCTCCGGTGAGCAACAACACACACTATGAGACTCTCCGGGAACAACAACCACACTAGGAGACTCTCCGAGACTCTCCAGACAACAACACACACTATGAGACTCTCCGGTAGACAACAAGACACACTATGAGACTCCACTAACAACACACACCATGAGACTCTCCGGTAGACAACAACACACACTATGAGACTCTCCGGTGAACAACAAGACACACTATGAGACTCTCCGGAGCAACAACACACTATGAGACTCTCCGGGAGACAACAACACACACTATGAGACTCTCCAGGAGACAACAACACACACTATGAGACTCTCCGGGAGACAACAAGACACACTATGAGACTCTCCGGTAGACAACAACACACACTATGAGACTCTCCGGGAGACAACAAGACACACTATGAGACTCTCCGGGAGACAACAAGACACACTATGAGATGCTGTGAGAAGAACGACAGATACAACAAAGTGAATCCAGATGTGTTAATAAAACCATTCTAATCCAAGCAGAGTTCAATGAGGACCAGGGAACAAAATAACGTAAAAAAAAAATATATATTAATAAAACCTAAAAGCATGGCCAACATCGCTACGTCACTTTCTACGTGTGTTTTGAATAAGGGGAATAACCAGTTCGAAAATGTGATTAAAATAGAACTATCCAACCAACCTACTGTGATCCAACCCCTCGCACCTCCAGCAGACACAACAACAAATTATATCACTCACCCTCGTGGGGACCTTGGCCGTCAGCACAAACAATCGACATGATGCAAAAGCCTGGAAAAAAAGAAAGAAAATAAACTATAGTCGTGATCTTGACACACACACACACGGCACATCTCACCTATGAGGCAAAAATCAAACTGTTTGAAAAATGTAATGTAACAATGTTGTGTATTATATAATTCTTGCATCTCACTTCCTCCTCACATGACTTTCTTCACTAAAACATCCCAACATTGTTCCTCCTCATGTGGATGTTATGCCAGCTGAGGCTTATGATCTGTGATGCATCAATCAGCAATTTCACAGTCAATAAATGTTTGGAAGTTTGCCAGGAGGGACCAGGGGCTCTTCTACTAGAACTAGAGGCTGAACAATGTGAATCAATGCCATGTTCTCTTACCTGGCCTGCCCCTCCCTAATGTATAAATAAAATGCATTCATTCAACAGACTTTACACTTGAACACAATACAATGCAGTACATCCAGCATAAACTATATAAATACCCGGTACATGCAGGAGTTGATCTATAAATCTGGATCTGAAATGATTGTTGTCACCAAACAGACTGGTAATTGATATATTTTGCTGATGTTACTCATAAGAATAATTTGCCTTGTGTATCTCTGAAACCTAAACCCCTTCACCATGGGGATGCCACTTTTGATATTTTATTTGGCAAGACAATTTTATTCATCTGGGAGGGGACACCAAACAAAAAGGGGTTAAGCTCGGTCAACGCTTGTTCGTACGTGTCCAGGCAGTGTATAGTACAGGTAACGTACTTTCAAGAGTGTCTGTGTTCACTTCTGCTTCAATATTTGATTCATGGTAGTAAATTAAAGAATCTGTAGGACACTTACCAACACCCGATTGTCTGTCTTATCTCCTCTGGTCTCAACTTTTACGAGCACCTTCAACGTGAGCTTCACTTTACGTCCAAGGCATTGGCGTATGGAATCTGTAAAAGATGAAATGGGAAAATACATTAAATTCCTCATACACAGAGTACAGTGCATTACAAAGGCACATAATTTGGGGGAATGAGGTTAGGTTAGGAGAGGTTGTTAGGTTAGATTAAGTTAGGTTAGCGTATGGGTGGTTGATCTTTACATAAAATAAGCTGAGGTGGAGAATCTTCACTGATTCTAAAATACTCAGTGATAGGTTTAGGGCCCACTCACACGGAGGACGGAATGGACATAATTTGATGCAAATTGTCCAATTGAGCAAGTCAAGTTAAAAGCGCCTATCTCCCACTATACAGATATTTGAATCTTTCAAATTTTATCCGAGAGGGAAGACAGTTTCCCTCTCCCTACAATGACAGTCGTGTAACAGGTACTAGCTAAGCTGAGAAAATCATAATACCAACCGCAGCGCCATATATCTTCTGTCTCTGGACAATTTGAGTCGGATTATGTCTGGTTCTGGCCTTGGTGTGAGCGGGCCTTTAGAACATAAGAACATAAGAAAATGAGGAGTCTGCAATAGGCCGGTTGGCCTGTGCATGGCAGCTCCTGTCGAGAGTTACTACCACTCTCTATCATCCATGAATCTATCTAGCTCGAGAAGGAAGGTCACCACTTTCTAAATATTCTAACAGGGTCTTCATTGATGTTTGTGTTACTGCATGAATTTAAGTATACAGTGGGGGAGGAAGTAAAATACCATTATGAACATACAATAATACCGGGTAATGTAACAGTTTGACCGAGCAACACATTTTATAAAGGACAAGTTCAGCTGTGGTATTACCTGTATACAGTATTAAATGTTTTATGAAATCTTTACCAATGCCAGTACAGTATGTTTATATTAATGACAACCTGGAGAAACGAGGATAAAGTAATTTGAAAACCACTGGTGAAGCAGACAAAAATTGACTAACCAAACCTAACACTTCTGGGTAACTCAGTTAGTTAGATTGTAGAGCTAAAATGATCCTTGGTACAGTAATTGCCACCTGTCATCATTGCTACATGGTGTAAATCCCAAAGTTTTGGGGAGGAAGTGATGTTGATAAGACTATCGCCCGTATTATTAAACAACAGTTTTCCTTTAGAGGGTCGTCATGTTTCAACCTGAGTTTTAAACTAAATGAGTCCTGAGGGACACTGCAGTACAGTACTTAACGGGGAAGTGTGGCGGTAAAATTAACTAATTCCATTATCAAAAATTAATTTTATTGGAATTAGTTCATTTTACCGCCACACTTCCCCATTAAGTACTGTACTGTGGTGTCCCTCAGGGCTCATTTAGTTTAAAACTCGGGTTGAAACATGACGACCCTCTTCAAGGGAAGATGTTGTTTAATATTACGGGCGTTAGATGCTTCTAAGGGAAAGTTTACATCAATTATTTCCTTTTATGTTATGCATTAAGATAATATAGTACAGTACAGTACAGTACAGTAGTAGGAATGAAAATCTTATCCCAAAACTGGTACAGTATATACTTACAGACTCCTGTATGGATTTATCGGGACCATTAACAAAAAATCTGTTTACAGGATAACTTAACATTATCTCTTATTACAGGAGCTAGTGAAGTTGGTTACAAAAATTCTGAAGTTCCTCAAAAACATGATAACTACACACACACACATGTAGCCGCAGGTAAGACTGGCAGTGAACCTTTCATGAAGCTTGACATAAACAACCCTAACTATCTGGGGGTATGAATCTGGGGTAGGTTAAGTTAGCATTAGAGTGGTTAATCTTCAGGTGAAATAAGCTGGGGTGGAGATCCTTCAGATGATACAAATTACCCTTGCTTAAAAAAAAATACCTTGGGAACTCATTTAGATTAAGAACCCCTGCACACTACACCTGATGATTAATTAAACACCCTAATGCTAAATGGAGTGATGGGGATAGGTTAAGTTAGGTCAGTTTGGGTTATGTCATCTTTCATAAATGGTCACAGTCTCACACACAGTCACCCACTATGTTAAAATGGTTTGTTATCACACCCTACACCTCTTACTGTAACAAGCAATAGTTTTTAATAGTTCTGTCAAACCAAACGTAGTTAATATTTTTTATTTAGTACAACTGCACATGAGTTCTTAACCCAGGAAATGAAGTGGCAACCCTGACCTTACCATTGACCACCTCATCCATCAACACAAGTCAAACCAAATTCAAAATCACAAACAACTGTACAGCCTATACTATATATACCATGACACAAGATTACCAAATTGCCTTGTTAGGTGCCATACTGACGGTAGCATCAATACCCTAAACACAGCTACTCTTTAAATTAGGTTAAGTGAGGTTAGGTTATCTGGGTAACTATGGACAAGACCAAGTTAGATTATGTTGGATGACTGTTAAAGACGGACCAGTGTGATACTGAACACTGATACACCTCACGAGGCCTAACACAAGTGAATAGATATTTCATGAGTCAAATCATCATATAAATTCACGGTGATTCATTATATACACACAGCACAGGTATATAAATATTTGGTCACTAACACGTCAATAACGCAAAAAGTAACACCAGAAATACATTAGAGGTTTATTTCCATTATGACCCTAAGCTGACCTGTCCTTTCGTGACCTCCTAATTAACTAAAACTCAATGAAATTCCTCCTCATTGGCTGACACTGTCCCCAACACACCACCATTAGTCCTCATAAGTATCCATCACATTGAGAAAGTTTTAATAAGTCCCTCAAGATACACTTAAGTCAAATCTTTCCAAACGAGTAAATTTTACCAGTATAACTGTCTACTATAGCGGTAATATTCCCATCAACTTGTAAAGCTCCTGCGAGGTTAAATACCTAACTTAAACCCATAGTCTTGCTTGATACCGATAGCTAGAGTAGTCCTCGTGAACTACATTACCTCACCTGTCTACTGAGGGATATATCTACCTTTATTTCCCTCAAACTAAAGTCTTGTTTACATTTCAACATCACCATTTAAACACTTACCACTCAGTTCTCGGGTAATTATGTTCCTCCCAGTCATCTTGTTGATCTTATATGAACACAGTTAATATATCACGACATTCTTCACTAATGTGGATATGTTTCAGTTCGTTGTGTGTAATGTGTGGCGTTCTTTATCCTCAAAACAGGAGAGCAGCTCTAATAGGAGTGTCTCTCTCACTACTCCATGTTTGTGACGTCATATATCCCTGTTGAGCGACGTTGCCAAACTTATCAACCTACTTTTTACAATTATTGATTTAAAAACTGCAACGCTCACTTATGTAATTTATTTAAGATTTAGTTTAAAATCAATAGTTGTATGTAGTGTTTAGATGTTTATAATTAATTGAACTGTGGAAGGGGTAATAATTGAGTTATGTGGCATAGTGTTTGGCGCCCTTTCCCGATGTGAGACTTGCATAGGAATGATTCACTGTAAATGACTGTGGTTCATTCATTACGCCTTTTACCGTCTTATAGTCATCATTACACTGGAGAGAGGAGACTAAAGTGTACAAGGAATACAGTTAAGCAAAAGTAGAATTAAATAATCAAATATACCTCTGAAACGTTGGAGTGTTTAGAAAGCTTACAGTGCAAATATTGCAATCTTTGACCTTTCAATTAAAAAAAGTAATTAATATTTACCTATTCATGCCATATAACTCAATTAAAAAGACCCTTTTTGACAGTGGAGTTTATAACTAACCGTTTATCACTTTGAGCTGTAAACAGTCCATATCACCAATGAGTTGGCTGGTGTGCCGTCAACTGAGGTGAGGTGAGGTGAGTCAGCCGCTATCAGTTATCTCGCTTTGCATAGTTTATCTTGATTAAGAGCCACATAGTCTGAACATAATATGATAAGATATCGTAGAAATGTGGTAATTTTTCAGGTGATAGCTTTTAATATCAACTCATAAGTGGGGACTTACACAACAGTTATAAGCTACCTCAGTGCGGGCTGGTCACAAGGTATCTCAGTCTCCCAGTCAGTCAGTCAAGACATCCAAAACTAACGAAAGAAACTAACAAGAGTTACTAAGATCTAATCATAAGCTTTGTTTGTATACCTGTTGTCTAGGTACATTGTTTGTATACCTGTTGTCTCGGTACATTGTTTGTATACCTGTTGTCAAGGTACTATTGCTTGTATACCTGTATTGTTTAGGTACATTGTTTGTATACTTTTTTCTTTTTTAATTTTATCCTCTTCGCCACTGATCGGCTCGTTAGCCGCTTGGGCGGTCGGTCACGTCTGTTACGCATTGTTGACAAGTACTGGGTATGCACCGGCTCCTGAATGAGTGTTATTACATCATGCGGTCTACAAGATATTTAGGTTAAATTAGCTTAGCTTAGGTTAGGTCAGGTTAGGTCAGATTAGTTCAGGTTAGGTTAGGTTAGACAAAGATATCTTTGTAGACAGCACGCTATAGTAGCATCCGCCAGTGTTGGTCAAAGCCTATTCTTGAAACAGCTCACACTCAGTGCCGTCACAACACTCTCTGGCAGGTTGTTCCAAGAGTTCACAATTCTTACTCCAAAAAGGTTTCCCTCACAGTTTTCTGGACTTGTGTCTTCTTTAACCTTTAGCTGTGGCCCATTGAGGGGAGAGCGTCCCCCAACTCCAGGTATGGACGCTTGACTGAGCAGTGTCCTCTGAGATGTTCATAAACTTCAGTTGGGTCCCCCCTTGCCCGCCTGTAGTATAAACTAGGCAGTTGCAGGCGTTCTAGTCTCTCAGGGTAACTGAGGTGTAGTACAGGCACCAGTCTGGTGGCCCTCGTTTGGACATTTTCAATCAACTGACAGTCCCTAGCATATCTTGCGGACCAGACGGGGTGACAGTACATGCTCCAAACGGGGAAGCACCTGACTCTTGTATTGTCTTGGTACATTGTTTGTATATATGTGCGGTCTACGGTCTATGAACACTGTATACCTGCGTTGTCTATATTGCATGCTTAACTGTTTACTGATCCACATCAGTCATCATCATCATCAACGTTTTATGGCCATTTTCCATGCTTGCATTCCCTTACATTGTCTATTATGCCACGATGAAACATTCCTAGAACTGGAAACACACACTGACACTACCCGAGGTCACTTTCAAGCAAGATATTAATTTATAGAAAGAACAAACAGAGGCAGAACAATTTCACAGTGTCTCCTATCAGGGGCGGATCAAGGAATATCAAAAGGGGGGGTTCAAGAAGTTGTTGGTGGGGGAACATTTTGAGGCCATGCGCACTTGATATTGGGAGATATTCTGAAGTCAGTAGTAATTACTTTCTACTATACAAAAATGCCTGAGTACAATACTGCATTAAAGAAAAAGTATTGAAATTTTCTGGTGAAAAGGGGGATCTGGACCCCCCGCTCCCCCTGGATCCGCCCTTGCCTATCCAAAAGTTTGTCCTATCCCAGACCACCAGCTGTAAATGGGTATATATCTAGATTTACAGGGAAGTGTAGGTGTCAGGTGCAGTGCCGGCCTCCTTGTATACCGAGGGATCATTAGTCTGTTGTATCCATACTGACGGTCCCAAGCGGACAGTCAACCCTATGGGAGTACTCTCACCTTTTCAAGTATGATGAATGTTGATCACGAGTCTGGTGCAAGAGTTATATTCCTTTCGTCTCAAAAATATCTCTTAGAACTTAATTTCGTATTTAAGTGTCAGAACATTAATATATTTCTGTATTCCAATGACATTTTCACTATGATATCTATAACTTTGATTAATTTGACACTAACGAGAACGTATACATGTTGCTCAGCTTCTGGTGCTTTAATATATAAAAGAAAACTGTGAGGCAAATTAGACGGGAGACTATTATTTAACGAAATAAAATGTTAGAGCCTCAAAACATTAAGGTAATGAACGTTGTCTGAAACATTTACTTTATTGTTTATTGTTAATACTTTGAAAATAAACTAATTATTTTTGGTTAAGATTCGTTAGACACTCGAGTACAAATGCATAAGAAAAACTATTTATTTTAGTGTTTTCTAGTTATTGTATGTACTCTACCATTTTTGTTCCTTTAAAGATATACAGTATGTGTTTTAGTGGCTTTAAACGGTACACTCACAGCTTAGTACAGTTTTGGTTTAATGACATCCTGATAGGCTATACCGAATGTTTTTCCCAGTCGTCTCTCGAACGTTAACATCGATAGTAAAGTGACAACGTTCTCACTTAAGTTGTTCCCTAAGTGTACAATATTTAATGTGTTTTTCTTCTCTAAGAATACAAAACCGTTTTCGACAAAAGTGGATTAAAAGTTGGTTGTTTATGCCTTAACCAATCCTCACATAACCAAGCGAAATCTAAATTATTAAATAATAAACCTCGAATAATCGAATTTAATACTACCTCAGCTATTACTAAATTAGCCAAATATAATTTAATTGAACTTGTTTTAACTTAATAAAATTATCCGGCCCTAACCTAACCTAATCTAAAGTTCATAGGCTTCCGCTAGGGGGGGGGGGGGTAACTAAGGTTAAGGTTATCAGGGCCAGATCCAGGCCGATGCAAAGGTATCATTATGCATAGGTTAAATAATTAACCTGTCGGTAACGTGATCTCATTGTCAGTGTTGGCCTGCATGGCCCACGAGCTTCTGTAACTTTCTGCACCCGAGTGACAAGTTTTCTGATTTTCAACTCCCAGTATCTCGATTCAGGTATACAAACACTAAACATAGACAGTACAATGATAAACAGCGGGTAGATTGGATCAAGGATAATCCAACAAAAACAAAGCTGTCCTAAGGTTATTAATATTATCCATAACAACAAACAGAAGATGAGGGAAGGTTTCAGCACACCTTTTACTACAGGTTTTCTTAACCATTTGTCATCCGAAATAAGATGGTCTACTGTATATATCTATCTATCTTTTCATCTATATTCCTTAAATACAATGCCAATCGTACCCTTAAGTACAGTACACCTCTTTACTCTTTTTTTTACAAGATTAGCCCACCAGGGCAAAGGTCAATGACCCACATCAGATTGAAGAAGCCGCAAGTCCAGACAACTGTGAGAGCAAACTTTCTCGGAGTGAGAGTTGTGAACTGTTGGAACAATCTACCAGAGAGTGTGAGCTCTTTCAAGACCAGACTTGACCAACACTGGAGCGGGTTCAGGTACATTCAGGCAAGGTAGGTACCTACCTTGCATTCAGGAGCCGGTGCATACCCAGTACTTGCCAACAGTGCTTAACAGACGTGACCGATCGCCCGGGCGGCTAACGAGCCGACCAGTGGCGAAGAGGTCAAGAGGATAAAATTAAAGAAAAAGTTATAATAATAATAATAATAATAATGAAAATATACAGTATATATATATATATATATATATATATATATATATATATATATATATATATATATATATATATATATATATATATATATATATATATATCTTGATAAAATCACACGGGAAAATGGAAACATGTACAGTATACTGTATATTGTAAATAAACAAAATATACTACTCTACAGTATACACTACATATACTGTACTCACCAACAGATACTGTTGTCTTGAGCTTGTGATGCAGGCAGGACAAATGGGGATATGATGATATAGGATGGCCCGCCTTTGCCTGTACCATCTACTGTAGCAGCTTGGTGCCATGTTTTGTTTTTCTTGTAGCATTCGGCATTGTACAAGTGCTGTATAATGTACACACGCCCTCTGCACACTACTTACTGAATGTACACTCACAACTAAAAGCTCTCAAATGCTTTAAGGGTTATACAATATGACAAGACGAATAAGAAATCTGAACATTCTTCTTTGAGGAAGTTTTATTGCAAATTAAATAACGTCTTTTCACCTGTAAATACTATGAGGGCAAGCAACATTTATTATTACAAAATATTGAGTCACTTTGCAACCAGGCATACCAACCATTCCAAGATAACACATTCTGAAACCTGTCGTGCCCAGCTGTTCGAGTACTTTTTGTGGCAAATGTACAGTAAAGTATACGTAACTGTGAACACTTTTTCCATCTTAACACTGTTTTAAATGTATTCTTGGCTTATTGAATTCTGGTACAGTACTGTAATGTACAGTACTGCATAACACAGATCGTATGCTAAAATAGCAGTGAGTGAACAAGCTTGAACAATGGCAGCAGACAATGAACTAAGTGCTTAAAGAGATAGGCTAGGAGATGCATCAGCTAATCATAGGCATCCCATGCATTCATATAACAGTAGTAGCCAATCGCAGTGCACGAGTCCACTGGCCGAAGCACATAGCAATCTCTTGGAAATTCGTTCAAATGCCCAGAATAGAGATATTTTCAACATAATCTTTTATTTCCAGGTAATGGCAAGTTCAGCAATCCAAGAATCTGGTTAATGGGAACATTACTGTTGTAGTGGACTTCTCCCCTACAACTGTGTATCCGCATTCCAATGAGACAGTACCCTAGCAACCAAGCGAGCGGCGACAACAGATGTTACCGTATCTTAGCAACGGAACCAGGGACCGGCGACTTTCTCGGGTTTTCCCAACATGACTCATAGAGGACTCACGGCTGCTGGGTATATAAGCTCTGTCTCTCCATTGAGATTCATTCTAGCCTCTCTTCTACAACACGCAACACCTCCTCCGCCGCTGCCTGGCGGCCCTCGCCTCTCCTCCGCCTGCCTGGCGGTCCTCACTCCCGCCGGCGAGCATGGCGACCCACCAGCTGTCCTTCTCTGAGCTTCCTCACCCGTCCTGCCTCAGACGCCGACCCCGGCCCAGCAGTAACCCCTGACGCGGCCTCTGTTCCTGAATTCGGACCCACACACACCCCTCTTTTCTCCCTCAGATACTCCCTGCTAATGTCCTGCACCCTGCTGCTGTCGTGGACCCAGCTGCTGTCACGAGCCCAAATCCGCTTCTGCTGACGCAGCCCCTGCTCCTGACCCAGGCCCACACACCCCAGCAGGCGCATCTGACGACCCTGTACCTGCCGTGAGGGAAGCACAACATTCATCGCCTCCACACACCCTCTTTTCTCCCTCAGGTACTCCCTGCTAATGTCCTGCACCCTGCTGCTGTCGTGGACCCAGCTGCTGTCACGAGCCCTAATCCGCTTCTGCTGATGCAGCCCCTGCTCCTGACCCAGGCCCACACACCCCAGCAGGCGCATCTGACTACCCTGTACCTGTCATGAGGGAAGCACAACATTCATCGCCTCCACACACCCTTTTTCTCCCTTCTCCCACAGATAGTGTGTATCTAGACAGTTGTATTTCAGCGATCGGCTCATTTACGCCATCGCCGTTGTCTCACATGAGGCATGCACCGCCCGGTCTGCCTCACATGTGCTAAGCAACTCTACAGACAACAAGTCTCCTACACCGCCTGGAGGGAAGGGGGAGTATTGTAGTGGACTTCTCCCCTACAACTGCGTATCCGCATTCCAATGCGACAGTACCCTAGCAACCAAGCGAGCGGCAACAACAGATGTTACCGTATCTTCGCAACGGAACCAGGGACCGGCGACTTTCTCGGGTTTTCCCAACATGACTCATAGAGGACTCACGGCTGCTGGATATATAAGCTCTGTCTCTCCATTGAGATTCATTCTAGCCTCTCTTCTACAACACGCAACACCTCCTCCTCCGCCGCTGCCTGGCGGCCCTCGCCTCTCCTCCGCCTGCCTGGCGGTCCTCGCTCCCGCCGGCGAGCATGGCGACCCACCAGCTGTCCTTCTCTGAGCTTCCTCACCAACCAGCTTTCTCATTCTGGTCTCTCTTCTTGAACAAGCAACACCTCCCCCAGCAAGCTCCACGCTGTCCAGCTTTCATTCAACCAGGAGGCCAGCAACAGGCAACATCTTCTCTAACGAAGCTCCTGCACATCTACCTCCTTCAACACGCTACTCACCGAACGTCTCTACTGAGCAGCTCCTCACCACACGGCACCTCCAGCACCAGACTGTAAATCATATAACTTATATTACACAAGAAAACCACCTTAGAGTTTCCATCCATCCTGAGTGCTAGACAACATTATACCACGAATACCTACACTGTACTGTACTGTACACGAAAAATAGTTTTGTATACATGTAGTCAGTTTCACACAATACACAAAGGTTTTCAGGAACCCTTGTGATAAATGAGGACTGCCTGTCCATTGTGTATTAAATATTTAATTTTTCAAGTAATGTTAACTTCAAGTTTGGTGTTCTTTTAGTATTCATCAGGATGAAATTTTTTGCTAGTAGAAACACATCTCATATTATTATGGACGCCAATGGGGAAATAGTTTCGAGTTAAGGGCAACTAATCACCCTATTAAGTTATTAACTGGTCATAAAGATACGTAAATATGGTAACTCAGACAACATTAATTTTTACTCAGATTTGACATGCACAATACAGAGGAAATCACTTACATCATGGTTATCTTGTAAAGTTGAAACTAAGACCAAATGCCTCAGCTGCTGATGTACAGCAGTAAGGTTGAAAGGTAATACTGTAGTAGAAACTAAAAGAAAAAAGAGTAGGTTTGACATCTTTGTTTATTGTAGTTATTAATTTACTCTTGTGCATTTGTTATATTCATACACAGAAAATGATTATAGATGTTACAAAACAAGCAAAGTATTACATTACATTTTACCCAATGGAATGTTAGTTAGTACATTAAACACAAACCTTAATGTTTACATACCAAAAATAAACTAACCAGTACTTAACAATACAAGGCTATGTTGAACAATACACAATACAACAGTGTGAAAAATTATATATTTAAATATTTGTTTTTAGCCATCCAAAAGTTAACACACATAACCAGGTTTTCATAACAGTTTATTATAATAAGAAGCAACATATATTTAGTACTGAAAATATACCTAGTCTCTCTATATACAAACTATACACCATTTACCACTAAGCAACACACCATTGATCTTTAAAACAAATACAAGATACAGACAACATGGAGATTGGAAACACCTACTCCAGTCTAGCATTACTTTACGAGTTTTATACTGTAACACCTACTTCAGTCTATTGTTTATAATCTTTTGGCTATACATCTTACTACAATCTATTGTTTTATTTCTATTGTACACATATTACCACAGTCTATTTTTTACAAGTTTTTTTAATGCATGATCTACTGCAGTCTATTGTGGGTAAGACTCCTTACTCCAACCACGTGCAAATAATGGGATACAAGGAACACGAAACATCCACTGATGATGACCAATACTTAAGGATTAATGTATGACTGACTGACCTTAAAGCCAAAGGCAATAAATTTTATATATTTTTTTCTCTAAGTTACATAAATTTCAGCTAGAACTTAAGAGTATGAATGGGAAAGTGACCAACTCAGCTCTCGATGTAGTGCTAATGTTACCTACAACAACATACATTTCTTTTAAGACAAACATCTTAAGAAAATTACAATGTTTTCTATTTGGGAAGTGTTATTTATTACAAGTCTTTATACAACGTACTGTACTTCAAATCATACTATTGTAGTAGGATGCTACACCAGGCAATTTTATTTAACTCAGAAGGGGACTTGTACACAAGGGGCTAAGCCTTATACTGTACTGTGCCCTTCATTTTCATGCCTGTACAGAACTTTGGAGTTAACATTCCTCACAGTCATATAAATACAGTTGTAAATTTATTTATTTTTTTACATTACCACAATGGACAGTGTGCAACACCATCCATATGGCAATCACGTGAATGCGCTTCTATTACAGCGGCAACACTGTCCTCACTTGTTGATGTGCCAAGTCTCCTGCAACAATCTGGGAGACCTCACACATCAACACATGAGCACAGTGTTCCTGTTGTAATACAGTGTAATTTTTTTTATTCAAGAACCTTAAATAATTACTGCATACAGTATGTCTACTATATTTTAGGACATGCAATAAACAGGAACCTAAAACATATGATCATATCAATGTGAACAACATAATTGTTCTTTGAAATGATCAGACCTTACTCCTACTGATTATTAGGTTCCTGTTTATTGCATGTCCTATAATAATCATTAATGGTTTTCTAATAAAAAAATCCCAGTACTGTACTGTACAAATATTAATGCGATCGCCACAAAAGTTTGGAAGGCAATGTGTATACTGTATATTTTTTTGAGACACCCTGTATTAGGTCTGGTCCCCTATACTATACAATATAGACTGTAACATAGTACCACATTGCAAACACCGCTTATTCTCTGATCTGTGAAGTTAAGCAACGTTGGGTCTGATTAGAACTTGGAGGATGCTGGAAATAAGCATCTCATGATTTTGTCAGCTGTCCTTGGTCAACTTAACAAAATATTAATTATTATTTACCTTCAGTTACCCACAAATGTTTATTTTCAGTATTTTTTATTTATTTATCTTGTGTTTCATATACAGGTATACTGTATATATAAAGTAGAGAAAACTAAGAAGAAAGTGTACAATTTTGGAAAAAACTCTAGATAAAGGGTGTAGCCTGGGTTTTTTAATTTACCAGCACTATTATAAAGCGTCAAAATTTCCGCTTTTTTGTTATCTAACACTTATTGTCCTTACTTGGTTGTTTATGAGCTAAAATACAAGTTAATTGTAGTATTGAAAACTGTAATGCTTGACTTCATATTGTCAAAATTATTTCTTTTGTCGTTTTTCATTTTTTCTGGTTTCATGTGAAAGCGCAATCAATTGTACATAGAATATATACAGGGGAGTTGGTTTCATACAAAAAAAATTAACCGGTTGCCGAAAAATCTACTAAAAAAAAAAAAAAAAAGATAGTGTGGCTCTTCCGTGCAATAAGATCACAACTAGCCTGTGTGTGGGAGGGGTAGTTGCTATAGGATTTTCCCATTATTATTTATTTGTATGTGTTTTGTGTGTGTGTGTATGTGTTTACACACACACACATATACAGTAAATATAAAATAAATAATTATCTTAGGGGCACACGAGTAAAAATGCCCCCTCCCGCTTCAGCAAATGATATTTGCATACATTTTGAGACCCAAACCCCCGTGAATTTTAAGGGCAAGTTGTACATGGAAGATATGTTATGAACACATCATATTACTTATTATTTTTATAATAATGTATCATAGAATGCATTAATGTACAGTACTGTACAGGTATTACTGTACAGTAAACCCACGGTATAACTCGCCTTTCTTCACTTGTTATGTTATGGTTATTTTTCAACTTGTAGTTTCGGGTAGATATAATGCATGTACAGTAACTTTCTATTTTCATTTATTTTGTACTCATTTACTGCCATGTGGCAAGTGTGTAGAGGCCGGAGGATGTGAGGCACAAAGCACCACTGCTAGGGAAGGAGGTGAGGGAGTGCCCCAGATCAAATGCATTGCTAAGGCATGCATCCCTTAGACTGTTACTCTGTGTGTTCAGTAACTTTACTAATAACTTTAATTGATAAAGATACATGTTAGAAATAAATCACTTATCAGTGGTGGTCTCAGAACTGATGTGCATGTGTTGTTGTTACCGTCTGACTGCTCCCACATTACCAGCGGTGGCAGGAAAGGGTGTAACTTTAGTTGTACCAATGGAAGTACCATTTTGAACACTTCTTCCTTTTTCACTACAGATCTTACTGCGGTATATAGGAGAGAAAAATTACATGCAATATCCACCGCACGTTCACTAGCCTCAACTTTGCTATGACTTTCTTTGCTCCAGTGTCATGTTGCAATTCTTTGTAATTTTTCTTCGTGGTGTCGCACCATCACTTGTTGGGCATTTAGGGCCCATAATAAAGATATGGGAGACACTTTAACCCAAATAGAACAGCTAGTACCGACACAACGACTCGGGCACAGTGGTCGGACGTGTGGCAGGAGAGCTCCAGTTCAGCAAAGTCGTAAGAAGCAATTAGTCTAAGTGTTTTGTGATGATTCTCTCTTCTTTTTTAAGTAAAGATATTTGTAATTATTTCATATTAAATTTTAGTTCAAAATACTGTAATAGTAATTAGATACACAGTACAGGCGTCCCTCAAGATACAAATGGGTTTAGGTTTAAAACATTCGTAAGGTGATTTTACGTATCGTGAATAAAAGAAAATATGGGAAAAATAAGGTTTGGCTCCAAAGTGACAAAAATACTCCAATATCATACCCCAAAAAACCAAATCGGTTCACAAATAAGAACAAAACCTACCTAACTAATGATATACTAAAGTACACAACTACTCTAATTTAGCCTACCACCTAACATATGAAAAAATAAAATAAATACTGTTAAACTTTGGTAAATTACATTATGGGAGGGCAGTCTGTGCTCTCTCCCCAAGATGGCCGCGTCAGCTGACTCCAATCATGCGTGTCTCAGGAAAATGAACTTCTCTAACAATTGTTCCATCCTTCTTACACAAACCATGAAAAATAATCCCTGCAATGTGTAATTAATGTTAAATATTGCAACACTAAAACCTCTGTCTCATCACACCAACATGACGGAATATCACATGACCAACACACTGTTAACCATATGATGAGAACTCTTAATGTATGTGTTAAACATTATAATATACATAAAATAATACAGTATACATACATAACATAGACATGCCATATTAAAACAAAATAAAAATTCTAACAAAATTCTTTCATATTAGAACAACAAAAAAACGAATGTTAAATACAACAAATATTCAAATTTAATAATCATCTTTGGAAATATTTTACAACAATATTTTATTTTCTTGCATTAAAAGTCCCACAAAAAGTAATTTCTTCACATAATTACCATACTGTACTGTGTATAAATAATAAAACGAGATCTTACATCCAGTGGACCGATGTCAAGCCAGGTCAAACCCCAGGACCTATTACCAGAATAAGACCATATACTGTAGTTGGACAGACTACATCAAGTACGCTAGGTTAAGCTAAGCTATGTTAGGAGTAGGTCATCATAAGTTAGGATGTATTTAGGGGTGGGTTATGTTAGGGTTCAGTTAGGTTCCAGGTCAAGGGATTAATGAATCTTATTCCAGTTCTATCTTTCATACATGCTTAGTTAAGTATTATAAATAAAACAACATTTATACTGTATTTTCTGTACAAATATATGTTAAAAATATTAATATTTGTATTAAAATAAACATAAATACAACCTCAAGGGTGATGGACACATATAAACATATATAAAGTGCAGTGTTTCTGATATCTGGAGAAATGACGAGAGATGAAGTGAACCACAGAGTAGAAGTAGTAACAGGTGAATGGATAATTATATGAAGAGAGAGAATCAGATGTGCAGGAAAACTGTTGTATGCAGGACAGGATCCACACCAATGCACTTACATCGCTCAAAAATTCTGACCGATGGAGAGGTATCACATGCATCAGTCAAATAATTGACCCATCGGTAATGTGATCCTACTGTCAGTGTTGCCCTACATGGCCCACCAGTTTCTTCAGATGATGGCCACCATCCCTACAGCTAACTTCTACTGATGATGGCCACCTTAGCCTACAGCTAACTTCCACTGATGATGGCCACCTTAGCCTACAGCTAACTTCCACTTTTGATGGTTACTATCCTACAGCTAACTTCTACTGATGATGGCCACCTTAGCCTACAGCTAACTTCCACTGATGGCTACCATTTAAGGGTAAGGGCAACAAAAACGACACACTTGAGATGAACATGTGTGGTAAGCAATATTCAAAGTACAGTATAAGGAATACAGAAATGAGGAGATATGGAAGTGAAAGAAATGATGGACACAGAGCAAATCAGGGTCTGAATAGGTAGGGAAATACTAAAGTCAAGGTAAGTTGTACTTATACCTGGTGCATTTTGTGAGATGTGGCACTCTGTATGGCCTGGAATGGCCTCAAGAAACATCACAATAGTAGCCAGACTAAGGATACTAGATAAGTATTCCTCACAGAGTTGCCACATCTCACAAAATGTGTCCGTTGCTGTAGCAGGTATAAGTGCAGGTGACTGTATAATAAGCTTATAATCAAGAATAGAATGGTAGGAGTATAATGAGAAGATGAAAGAGAGGGAGAGATGGGGTGAATGGTAGTAGAAGTAAGAGGAATGAACACCCACACCCATGGCACCAAATTATTTCTGGGAAGAAGTTGGCTGCTTATGAGTGATGCTCACTCATGTAAAGCAACAGAGATGAACAGGGTTTAGGGCCTCGTAGAAGAAGGGGAGTACCACACAAAACACATCTTTTACATTTTTAAGAAAGAATGAATGACACTGAATATAGGGAAAATATGTGAATTTGCTCGTTTCCAGCAAACCTGCATAAAGCCGGAAAGGGCTTGAAATTAGAGACGTAAAATTGTGCTTATGTGTTTCTCAATTTAGTAATATATTAACTAAAAAACTGAAGTATTGTTCCTTTTGTATAGAAACAGTTTTATATTGATTTTTATTAAATTTTCATAGATTTTAGATTGTGCAGTGGGATCAAATTTTTTATTTATTGACTCGGTTTGTGGTCACCATGTGCTTCTTGGTCACTCTCACCCCATGGAGTGAGTATAAACATCTGAGAGGGAGAAGTGTCATGTCCACCCCCTCACCTCACTGTAGCCTGGTAAGAGTTTGGAGACCTTCAGCCAAAGTTGTCTCACTCACCACCACTGGGAAGTTTTTGTAGTGGCTCTTAATGACTTTTTTTTGTTCACTGGGATTAGCCCACCCGGGCACAGGTCGCTGACCTACAAATCTTGCTTTTTTGTTCCTCATTCCTGGTTATATTGTGTTACAGTCTTGTGTCAAGGCTACACCATGTTCTGTTGTCATTAACAACCTTCACACTTCTGGCCATTTTGATAGATCCTCTATACAGTATTCACAAAGAATGGAAAACAGCTGTTGGGAGCTCGTTGTTATGAATGAAAACATGCATTTAATTACTGATTCTTCAAATATGATTCTCTTGAGCACAACAGCTACCATCCTCTTGGTTTCAATTGACAAGCAATTATCAAATGAAACACCTGTTAACAGATCCCTCAGGTACAAGTGGTTAACCCTTAAAGCCCCGGTGACGTTCCTTTATATCCACCGTGGCAACCCTGGGTGACAGTCTTCTATGTCCTTAATATTCGAGGTACAGTTTGAGTGTCTAGGAAGGACAAGGTACTTTGTATGGGATATATATTTACTTGACAACTTAAATCACATATAATCTTTGTCTCAAGTCCAGTGGTCCAGTTACCCACCAGCTATCATGGATGGATGCACGTCCTTCAATGTCTTGTGACCCGCCTCACTCCTCCACACCCTTGATTTGAGTGGCACTGATATAGTATTGGGTGACGAGGACAGTGACGGGGAGGAGAGTAATTTCATCTCAGGTTTCAACTACAAGTTTTACAACAGTGAGAAGCCTGGAATATTATGACCAGAAACTGCCATAAAAAAATACTCCTGTATGCATTTTTAAATCCACCTGCAGAGCCCTAAAATTTATATATAAAAAAAACATGAAGAGTAACCTGCAAATGTTTCTAGAGTTGATGGACAATATACAAGGTTCTGAATATCAAAAATATGAAATATATTCACTACATTCGGAGACCATTCTTATACACACACATTAGGAATGTCGAAAAGAAATACAGAAATAAGTTCGATATGAATATTCAAGATGAAGTTGGTAAAATTCAAGAAAAAGTTAATATGTATGTCAATTCTACACTCTTGAATTATAAGATCTATGGAATCTTCTTCCATGAAAATTACAGTGACCTGAGATTCATGTTTTAGAATGCAAGCTGTGGTAGAGACCATGACCTGTTTGTCTCTGTATTTCAGTACTGTACAGTATATATTTCAGTCTTTATTCATTAGATTATACTCACAGCCTTACCACAGCACAGTGAGTATAGTGGCGACAAGTTCACACACACATATATTGCATCTGCTTTGCTAAGCTTTTGGGGAATAATATTAAGGTATATACTTCCTTTATATAGCACCTATTGGAACCCTTCACCTCCTAATTTTAAGTCATTATTCCACTCCCCAACAAGGTACGGTAATTGTGCCTCACAATATATGCAAGTATTTTTTAAGACATAAGATTTACATTATTGTCAACATTTCATTACCTCACACAGCTGTTATGAACCATTTGTGCTGCATATACTTACTTTTTTTTAAATGGTTGTGATGGTTCAAACATACAGCCAGTGTTTACCTTTGTAACATTAAAAGTAAACAAAATATATCTCACTGAGACTGAATTAGCAGTAATCATGTAATTTTTCTCTGCCAGACTTAGACTAAGTAAATAGACACGAGACATAATAGGCTCCCACCTAACAAGTAGGACAAAGGCCTGTTAGAACAGTAGGATTGGGCCACAACCCTAAAGTCTAGGCTAGTTTATGTTAGGTTGTGTTGGGACCCATTTGATATCTTGTTTTATATTGACTTTTGTCAAAACTCATTTTTTTTACTTCAATATAAAAATATATGGTTCAATATCTGCTTTTCATTAAATGAACTCCAGGAAACCATATAAGATTTGACCCAGAAAGTTTTGATATACAGTTTAAAAACTCCAAAATTCTTTGTTTTATAAATTATTTTAACTTAATTAAAATTGTTATTGTTAACTATTAATTTTGTAATTATGTACAGTACATCATATATCCTGTATTAATAGATGCAACTTACTGGCAAAGATTATAAAATCAATGTACTGTAAATGTATCAGTTAATACAAGTATATCTTAAAAGTAATATAACCAAATCTAAAAGACCATTCTCACTTATACTGTTGGTTCAGATGTGATGTACAAATCTGTTATTATTACATAATGAAACATGAAATGCCAATACATATACCCAACTACAAGTTATATAAAATATAAGTAGATCACTGCTAAAAATATGTCTTGAATATCAAAGTTTTGAGAGAAAGTTGACACAGCTCTGAGCATCACATTACTGTTCTACAAGTGTTGATGAAGAGTCTTGTAAGATTTCAAGTTATCAACAAATATTATGAATTATAAAAACGAGTTAATTTCCAAAATGTGATGTACATTATTAATGATCCTGTGAGAGAATTGTTTTTCACTAATACACCATGTACACTAATGACCCACACACCCCATACACTATGGTCAAAAAATAGGCAAATAACTGTTGTTGCCAAAGTTGTTTTATAGTGTCAATCCCATTTTGGAAAGGAACTCTTCGCGTGGATATGGAATCACAGCTGATATTTCAATGTGGAATGTTGGTAGTTTGTCAAGAAGAGTGAATGAGTGGATTTTTAAAACCTAAAAAAGGCTAAATTTGGTCACATAAACATAATGAAAATTCTACATTAATCTTCCATCAGTATTACTCCAATTCGTCCACTCTTCACACTCTATAACACATAATCACGGGTTTAAGATTTCCTTTTATTCAAATGTTACTAATCACTGTAGTTACTATACCGGGTACTAAAAATAGAGCCAAAATGTGAACATATTCTTTAAGCTCATTAGTTGTTCACTGGTTTAAAAGTTTACCTTATTTAAAAATTTATCTATAAGGAAGCACTCTTGGAATTTGGTGCGGTCTTTGAGAAGTCCTCCGTCCCGATCTCAACTCCACGGCAGAACAACCGCAGACGTTGACAGTGAACTCTGTACACAAGACAAACAAACAAATGTAATGTTTGTACTGTATGACAATAAATCATTAATCTGCTGTGTCTTTTGCATGTCATTCACATCTTTCCTTTGACAATTCTCCCTCTTACCTCTGATCTAATTAATTATAATCTTACAACTAATTCTGATTTTATAGCTAATTATAATCTTACAGCTAATTTAGATCTTACAATTACTTTTGACCTTAAGCAAATTTTTACCTTCTAACTAATTTGGACTCGGCATGAATCACTGACAAAGGAATTGTAAAGCCTCGCTATCTCGCAATCATGAAGTTAAAACTCTACAAATTAACCTAACTTCTTTAATGACCTACCACAGTCTAACTAGCACACCATCATAATACTGTACAGTTTGAGTTAAAGCACACTAAATAACCAAGCTATTCCCATAATCCCACATCAGACAGCATGAGAAGGAAGTATGTATGTAGCTGATGTGAGAATTACAATGTTCTATGGCAGTGAAACATGGCTCGAGTAAATTGATATGAGAATGGTCAAGGGGAAGGGGGGTTCAGTGATACGAGGGTGACTGGGTATAGGCAGTATACTGACGAGGTTTGGCATAGAGGTAGGCTGAGATGATTAAGGCATGTGGAGAGAATGGAAGAGGCTAACAGGGCCAAATGATGCAATAGTTTAAATATGTAGGGAGGGAAGGAGATTATAAGATATGTCAATACAGTCAAGAACTTGACAAGAGAGGCTGCAAGAGACCATGCAGTGTGGAGAGCTGCCTTCAGGCAATTATGCCATGGAAAATTGCATGTCTGGAAAATGGCTGTCGGAAATTTTACCAGCTTTCCCTGACGACAGTATTAATAACTAGGAACCACTATTGTCCTGAGATCTTTAACTATACTGTACAGTAAAGCCTCGAATAACGACGGTAACGTGTCCTCCAATATTGCAGTGTAAGGTGAATCGTGAATCATTAATTACCAATAAAATAAAGCAATAATAATGAGATGTGTTCCAAAGTCTTACCTTTTCATATCTTTTGTGTGGATTTTAACCCTCTTTTTCCCCAAAACAATAAAATTAATGAAATACGTATGCAAATTATATTCTTTAATGTTTATGAATGAATCTTACGGTATACAATATAAATCAATAATAATATGGACACACAAGAGGAGACAAGACGGCATTGTTTTCATTAGTATTTACACCTGTGACGATGGTTCTACATGTGAAACTGAAGAAAATAAGACCCTGGTTGTAACTGTAGTAAAATTAATAAAAAAAAAAATAATATGCAGTATAGTCTTGATTTACGCGGTCAATTGAACCCGTGGAGGTCCGCGTGAAACGAGAAACGCATAAACGAAATAACAGAATATATTGTCGGTCTGGCAAGGTGACGCATAAATGACCAAACGTGTAAACCAAATTCACGTAAATCGAGACTATACTGTATATTATACTAGAAGTCTAGACAACTAGGATATAACAATACTGTTCACAGAAAAGTACCGTACTCAGCTTGTTTATAGATGTAGTTGATGTTGATAAGCTAAAATGAACCCATCACCTTGTTACATCCTGAATTCCCCCGAATCGCTCCAACAAAGAAAAAATAGCACATCAAGAGTCCTAATACAAGCGGGAAAATTATGACAAATCATTATAATAATGAAACTCTTAGCTTAAAGTGTATTGTAATGTAACCCTTAAATATCATCACTATATACAGAAATTTGAGGATTAATGGGGTGTGGTGGGTGCAAGCTGAAGGCTCGATCGTCTCTGCTCACCAAAACACCCATCTTGCGACAGCTCTCACAAGGATACCAACCTTTCTTATTTGAAATCAGTATGACAGAAGCTGCTAAATTCTATAAATTCAACTCTATTTAGTAACTGAAAGTTACTAAAACAATTTAAAGTAAACAATTTATTAAAAATTATATTCATCCTTATTCAGATTTTCTTTTAGAAGTTAATACTAGTTAAGTAATTGTACAGGTACTCAACAACTCAAATACCAACTTCCTATCACCATTAGAAAGGTGAAAGTTTTGACAATGACTATTAAATGATGATGATGATGATGTAACTTACTTAAGTCTGAGAGCAGGTTCAAGCAGCTGCTCCCCATCACAGTTCCAGGAAGACTTGGGTCCCGTCAATTTTGGTGTGAAGTGAACCTCTTGAACACGGTGCAAGTTCACATGGTTTAAGCTCACCTGCAATTAAAAGCAAATCACATCATCTTGAAACATGTGACTATAATCAAACCAAAACAAATTGTGTTTAATATAATTAACAGTGTCATGGTCACAATAGCCTGGCTAGTGAGTTCAACACTTAATTATTCATATTAAGCTCCACCGTCCACAAAACATGTGTGAAACTGTTGAGTTCCCCAGTTGAGACCTCTGTTTTCTCACCGCTTCAATATGCACGAGTCCTCCGTTTTCTCTAATGTACCTCAGAGACTGATATTTCTTAGTACCGTACCTCATATGGTGTACAAAGATTTGAAATTGAGAGTGAAGGAGATGTTTTACATTAAATCAGATATACCTACAGTGAGAAAAAGCATTCTAGGGGTATTGAGTATATGTTGAAGGCACCATACATCTTTATGTGTAGAGTACAATACCGTATATCACGGCCTATAAGAAATTTGAACATTAAAAAAATCTGCCCAAAGTTAGGGGGTCGTCTAAACCACCAAGTTTAAAATTCTTACCTCTTAAATATTGTGGTTTAGTGTGTCAAGAGTGGTGATGAAAACATCGTAAGCCACTCACAAGGTCTTACCACTAATTATTTTATACTGAAACTTACGTTTGGCAAGCTGGATTCAAATTAAGATTACCGGTATATTAAAATAATAAAAATGTATTATAAACCTGTCTAACATACCGTAAAAGAGATTTATACCCCTATAATAAACACAGCTATCATCACACACCCCTCCCCACGCCCCCCCCCCCATTTGCCAGTGAGGAGCCGTGGAGGTGGTCAGTAATGCATACCGGTATCGGTATATTTACTCATAATAATATTTATCTCCTATAAATAATTGATTTAAATTTTATTTTTTTACAAAGAATATTCAGTAAATGAGTGCATTAATTCTTGAAACTATCGACGGTTAATTACAGACGCTTAAGTGACGTCACTAGTGTTTACACTACACCAGCTGGTAATATTTGATGCCATTACTTGAAGTGAATTGGCCTTATTTTAAGTAACTAACTATAAATAAATACAAAAATTAAAAAAAAAGATCAAAACTGAGAAATAATATACTGTATGTATGTTGTGTTGTCAAAGTAAGAGGAACAATTGTGTAAGTATGTAATATTTTTTCACTCAAATCCTAATGAAACACTACTGGAGAACATTCCTTTGTCGCAAAACAGTTTATAAATTAAAGAAAATAATTACAGTGTGTTTAATATATTACAGTATATTATAAATAAATAAATAAAACAAATAATTCGGTAAATCTATTTAAAGTAAATGGAAAATAAGCAAACATGTTATTTACCAAGACCCTTCCGTCTGGCTCAGGGTGAGATGTAGGGGAGATAAAGAAGGCTATTTATAGCCCATCAGAAGTGACCAGTACCCTAATGCACCATAAATAATTCATTGAACATTCATTTTTTGTACATACATAGTATATTCATATATATATATATATATATATATATATATATATATATATATATATATATATATATATATATATATATATATATATATATATATATATATATATATATATATATATATATATATATATTTGTGTAATAAATGTATGTAGTAAGTACATACTGGTAACCTTTTTCACTCAAATCCTAATGAAACACCACAATTAGAATACGGTGGTTGCTGTTGAACCACATGTTGTATAAATAGTCACACCACCGAGACGAAGGAACACTCCCACCACGCTTCAGTGACGTCACTAGTGTTTACACTACACCAGCGGGTATAATTTGATGACATTACTTGAAGTGAATTGGCCTTATTTTAAAAAATCAAGGATGGTTGGTAAAGGACTACTGAGTCAGTGGGTAAGTGTCACATTTGGGGTACTGGTCTTATACAGCAAATAGAGCTCAAAAGCTACTTTTTAAATGGAAATTTGGGGGGGGCGTCTTATGCACCCCGCCGCCTTATAGGCCGTGATATACGGTATACATATATATATATATACATATACATATACATACATATACATATACATACATATACATATACATATATATACATATACATATATATACATATACATATATATATATATATATATATATATATATATATATATATATATATATATATATATATATATATATATATATATATATATATATATATCACTTTACGCGTTTCTACATTTACGCGGTACCCTGCCAGAACCGGAATTCCCACTTTACGCGGTGCATCTACTCATATACGCGGGTGAAGTATAATTTTTTTATTTAGCTCATAAAATTCATACAAATTACCCGGCCAGAATATAATTTACATTGCTGGAATTCTTACAATTTGATGATCATTTTGAATATAAGCATCATAGATTTTGCATTAGACATACAAATTTTAGATCTAATGCAAGTATTTTGTTTACTCAGAGCAAATATGTTATCTTTTGTGCAAAATATATGACGTGTATATTCAAAATATTCCTGGTCTTGCAAGGAATCCAGCAATGTCAATTATATTATCCTAACTTTAGTCTGAGGTATTATTTATTATTAAAAATGTAAATATACTGTTATAACACAATCATTTCTCTGGTAGGGAGGGAGGGAGGGACCCAGGGAGCAGGTGGGAAGAGGGGGGGAGGTGGGGTATTTTGATTGACAGATAGTATTTGGGTAAGTATATTTTGTTTATTTATTGAAGATATTTGTTTTAGCTCATAAAATTCATACAAATTACCCAGCCAGAATATAATTTACATTGCTGGAATTCTTACAATTTGATGATCATTTTGAATATAAACATCATGGATTTTGCATTAGACATAAATTTTAGATCTACTGTACTAATTATTTTGTTTACTCTGAGCAAATATGTTATCTTTTGTGCAAAATATATGACGTGTGTATTCAAAATATTCCTGGTCTTGCAAGGAATCCAGCAATGTGAACTATATTATCCTAACTTTAGTCTGAGGTATTATTTATTACTAAAAAGATAAATATTCTGATTTCTCCCAAACATTTCTCTGGTAGGGAGGGAAGGTGGGGGGGAGGGAGGGACCGACCGACCCAGCTGGCATGGTGGGAAGAGGGGGGGAGGCAAGGTGGGGTGTTTTGATTGACAGATAGTGTCGTGAAGAATATTTTTTTTTTTTATTAACTGAAGATATTTGTTTTAGCTCATAAAATTCATACAAATTACCCGGCCAGAATATAATTTACATTGTTGGAATTCTTACAATTTGATGATCATTTTGAATATAAACATCATAGATTTTGCATTAGACATACAAATTTTAGATCTAATGTAAGTATTTTGTTTACTCTGAGTAAATATGTTATCTTTTGTGCAAAATATATGACATTTATATTCAAAATATTCCTGGTCTTACAAGGAATCCAGCAATGTCAATTATATTATCCTAACTTTAGTTTGAGGTATTATTTATTACTATACCTTAAAATATAGTGTTTTCCCCCCAATCATTTCTCAGAGAGGGAAGAGCCAGCGAGTGTGAGAAGAGGGGGAGGGAGCTGAGTCCATTATTTGAATGGACATTAACTTGGCGACTGTATTTCTCTATTTCTCTTAAATATTAATTGTGTGCGTGTACCATCATAAAATTAACATGTTATTTTTACTAGAACATAGGTATTGTGTCGGAAAAAGTGGAGTTTGGGGGTCGGCCCGGTCTCTATTTCAATTAATCCCATATGTTATGTTGTTCACTTTACGCGGGCTGCCGTGGGTTCAATTGACCCGTAAAGAGAGGGTTCACTGTATTGAAATTGTTGTCAGTCTTGTATTATAGAAAGTAAATAGTCTTCTGAAATGTAAACAGTCTATTGCTTATCGCTGGAATATAACGGAAAAATCTCATTATCTGCTCGCAAAGCTCCGCCCACAATACACTGCCATTCTTAGTACAGTGGTCCCTCGGTTAACGAATGGTTCGATTAATGAAATTTCGGTTAACGAATTACCTCCCATAAGGATCTTCAATTCGGTTAACGAACAAAACTTTGATTAACGATACCCTTAAGACAAACACGTTTTGTTGTGAGCATCAGCTGATGGGCTAGTCTGCCAATTCAGTAATCTGTTCTATGTTTACATTTGTTTCCAGTGGAGCAAATATCAAGAAAGTTGTGCTCTTTAATATTTGTGCATTTTGTATATTAAAATTATTCGTCATTTTAAAATTTAGTTCCAGTACAGGGAACTAGTTTTTTGCGCGCCCATCAGCCGCTTGACTCACCCACCAGGCGTCAGTGTGGCTTTGTTTACAGTGGAGTGAACATCGATTTTGTTGTTGTCTTGAATATTTTTGCATTTTTACATTAAAATTATTGGTCATTCTGAAATTCAGTTAATATATTGATAATATATAGCGCAGTGCAGTGTTGGGTTATATAAAATAATCTTGAATTACACCTAGTGAACTTAAAATTTTATTGGTGAAATTACTGCATCAAGCATGGATCCCCTGAAAGGTGATTTCTCCTCCATCCCCACTTCCTTCTCTTCTCCTTTCTCCTCCACCCCCAATTCTAATTCCCATCATCATCATCAACCAGGAACCTTCTACATACACACCTCAAAGTAAGTGTACTTTACTGCATTTTTTTTTTTTACCTTGTATGTACTTTTCTGTGAGCTGGAACCAATTACCCAATATCCCATTGAAACAATGTGTTCGTTTACCGAGGGACCACTGTACTTGACGTCAGTTTAATTCTTGCCTTTGAAAGCTCGGTCACTGCTTAGTTTAAAAAGTTAATCTTAGAAAATTAATATAAGCTCATAGCCTGATTTTCACAAGCCGATGTGTACAGTAAAAGAGTCTGATGATTATATCCGTGAAAATCTCAACTTGGTAACTCAGGGGATGTGAGAAGCTGGGAGAGGAAAGGAACTGACTCCTGCCCTCACTCTCTAGCCCTCGACTTCTCTGTATAACAGGTACGTGTTATTCATCCGAGTATCCATGTATGTAGTTTCCTCAGTTGTATGGGTGTCTGGAGAGACCAAGAGTATGAGGGTCGCCATTTTACTTCTTGGTGAATGTAACAAAGTAGTGCAGGTAGGCTATTAGTCCTAGTGCTATTGTTAAGAGTCCTGTTACTAAGTAAGAGCTACAATTCTCAGGTAACCTGTATTGATGGTGCTCAAGTGTGCTATATGTAAGATTATAGTGTTATGTGTTCTTTTAAAGGTACACCAAGTAATGGTGGATGTTGAAAGGTGTATCAATTGAAGTACAAACTGAGTGGAGTCATGGAGGTGATCCTTGTTGTGTGTTACTGAAAGTAGTCTATAAGTCTAATTTCATTTCAATAAAACATTTTTATTATATGTTGGGGGTCTCATTCTCCTGCAGTATTCACCTTTGTCTCTTCCCATATCTTGGTACCAGTATTACAGTAAATCCCCATGTCCTAACCCTCGAGCCATGCTACCACAGGTCAGGGGTTAAGGGGGGGGGGTTACCCTGAGAAGTAAAGTAACTAAGAAATAGCTAACATAAGAAGTTAATAAAGTAAGAAATTTAAGTAAAATAGAACCTGACAAATATTATGAAACCAACACATAAATGGCCAAGAATGGGAGCTATTACTATTCCTCACTGTAAATGCCTTAGTTAAGAAAGGTCGGGTGATGGGCAAGTTGAAGGGAATGGTTGAAACCCGACTTTTGACCCACTCAATATTTATTAATATGGTCAAAAACCTGCAGAGAACAAGGTGTTCATTAGTAGAGTAAACTCTTGTTATTCGCGAGGGATAGGTTTCTGAGGAATGGCACGAATAGGCAAAACCTCGAATAGCAACTTAGACTACCTTAATGCACTACTGTATACCTATTCCAAACAACCGATCAGCTGCGGCACCACTCATCCACTCCTTTAACTTGTCTAATAATTAAACTTTCTTTGTCAGAGTCATCACTGACTTCTGCCTTTTACATTTCACTCCACTAGCATCACTAGCGCTGACACTAGGCAATCTTTTAGGGGCCATTTTCACAAAGAAACACTGAAGTTTTGAGAGTACAACACAAGATGCTACGTGGGGTGACTCGTTGTGCAGCAGGAAAAAGCTTGCAGGCTAGCCACCATCTGCTTACCGCGAAGCATTGAAATCATGAATCGCAAACCCGCAAATGGGAAGGGTCTACTGTATTACATGGTAACCCATCTGATACATAACTTGCTAGTCTCACACAATTTTATCTTAACTACATGAGATCATTAAACAGAGTGACATAATACAAAGTAAAAACATTATTAATCTTAGTTGCGCTTCATTCCTCTTTGTCTTATTGCTCCAGATAAGGCAGAAAACAAGAAGGCATAATTAGTCCACAATATTTCAGTACTGAGGGGTACGTCATCACGTAGGCTGAACTGACAAGTGGGGGTCGATGTAAATCAGTATGGTATTCCAAGAGACAACAGTACAGCGTAAATTGTCTTAGCACAAAACTCAGTGACAGGATTGTCAGATGGAGTGTTCACTACTGACAGCAGAAGGCGTAGATGTTCACAGCATCGCTGTAAGGCTTGGTCTGAGTTAGGGAAGGCCAGACAGTCACCGCCACCTGTCGACTCAGCAAAACCAGGACCGCTCGGCTGTAAACACCCCCTTAGCTCGCTCCACTCCCCTCTCCCACATCTTCAATACTCTCTTAACTAAACTATTTCTAACGTGGTTGTAGGCTGATAGATTTATACTTGTTTGGGTAAGGTGACAATCGTAGACAGCACATCGGTTGAGGCGCTAGGAGGTGCTGAGTGGAGGTGCTGAAGGCAGCAAATGCTAGCACTGTATAGCTGAAGCCAGCAGCAATAACACTCACCATTTAGGAAATAAAACATCTGCCATTGCAACAGAGTCAGTTATGAGTTTCCATATACATTTAAAAAGTCATCTCTCTAAAAATAAAGGATAAAAACCAAAGATGAAATACTGTACATATATGGAGATGTAGCTACTGTATATAAATTTCTGATTATGTAACACATACATACTGTATATACATCTACACTAGTTGCATAAACAGATGCTGTTTTGACAGACTGTGGTGTCAAGGCTTAAACTTTTTTACATCCGCTGAAAACAGACACTCATAGCCACATACCTAAGTATGCCACGTACCTAAGTATAGCCCAATTATCCTAAACCAGAGAGAGAGAGAGAGAATTTGTACACTTTGAGTACTCAGACAATATGAACAATAAGGTGAAATAATCTCTACCAATACACTGTAGGTTACCATCCTTAACTACTCACAGCATTTCCCATGTATGCAGTTCTAAAGAGATAGCTGAGAATGCGACATCTTGATCCCCCGGACACAAGGATTAAGTCGGTGCAGCCATCCCCGAGGTGAGCCGAGGGCGATATTCCACAAGGAGAGAGGCGACACGCACATGACACCAGAGCCGAGGTCACGACACTCCATCGACCAGTGAACTGTGGATGACGATGAAAGAAACGTCAATTAAACAATCTGCTAGTCTTGTGTCCCATGAAAATTATGCTACAATTCTCCCCAAAAAAAGACAGAGAGAGAGAGAGAGAGAAATAGAGCGAGCAACATCTGCCACATCCAAATAAAGATCCACTGTCACGTAAAACACAACTTGTATTATGTCTTTGTATTCATTGTTTTCTGGCTATTTTCTATACTTGTGTAGGTTAGCCAAAGGTACTAAGTGACCCAATGTATAGCCAAAGGTACTAAGTGACCCAATGTATAGCCAAAGGTACTAAGTGACCCAATGTATAGCCAAAGGTACTAAGTGACCCAATGTATAGCCAAAGGTACTAAGTGACCCAATGTATAGCCAAAGGTACTAAGTGACCCAATGTATAGCCAAAGGTACTAAGTGACCCAATGTATAGCCAAAGGTACTAAGTGACCCAATGTATAGCCAAAGGTACTAAGTGACCCAATGTATAGCCAAAGGTACTAAGTGACCCAATGTATAGCCAAAGGTACTAAGTGACCCAATGTATAGCCAAAGGTACTAAGTGACCCAATGTATAGCCAAAGGTACTAAGTGACCCAATGTATAGCAGATGATGACTGTGTTTACAAAATGAGAAATAGAAGGATTACTGCTGTGGTTAATATTAGATAAGTTGAATTATTTGATAGCAAGAAAAATTTATGAGATCATTACATAAAAACTAATATAATGAAGAATGATTAGATAGAGATGTGTTTGAGGGATTACTGAACTATTGCTGCTACAAGAAAATGACAAATAAAATTACTGTACCTGCAGCCAGTCCCCAGGTGTTGGAAGAGACATGGCAGCTTTATCACACACACTACACTGGTGACTACATATATTAATGTCATAAGGCTGAGCTAATGGGTTTGCTGGAGTCAACACCCTCAATTGGCCCTCATAAGACCGATTCTTTAAAAACTGTAATACTCCAGATACCAAGTAGCGAGATGGTCCAAGCTTTCGCCATTGTTCCGAGGTTTTTAACAAGTCACCAAAATATCCATATGACACCATGGTAGTTGCAACCGATTGCAGATGATTATTTCTATGGATAGCTGCAACATCAACACACCGACTATCACCTGAAAAAAAAAATCACATGTCCGATGAACATAAAATGCAGTTTCATTTCTTAAAACAGCTCTAAAGACTTAATAGTGTACTGCCACATAAACAGTTGTCCCTCACCAACAGTGGGGGTTAGGTTCCTGAAACACTATGTGGCTGGCAAGACTGAAGGCTTATGGGAAATAGAGGGTAAGGTTCCATGGTCATGGGTAGCACTTATCAAAGCCTAACTAAGTTGCCCATTCCTTCTCTAAACAATATACAGTGGTCCCTCGGTTAACGAACACAATTTGTTCCAGAAGGTCGTTAGTTAACCGAAAATTTCGTAAACCAAAACCATTGTTTCAATGGGATTTTGGGTAATTGGTTCCAGCTCACCGAAAATTACATACAAAGTAAAAAAAAATGCAGTAAAGTACACTTACTTTGAGGTGTGTATGTAGAAGGTTCCTGGATGATGATGATGGGAATTAGAAGTGGGGGTGGAGGAGAAGGGAGAAGAGAAGGAAGTGGGGGTGGAAGAGAAATCACCCCATGCTTCATGCCGTCATTTCACCCATAAAATTTTAAGTTCACTAGGTGTAATTCAAGATTATTTTCTTTAAATCAACACTGCACTATATATTGTTAACATGTTAAATAAATTTCAGAATGACCAATAATTGTACTGTAAAAACGTAAAAATACTCTGTGTTCAAGAGACCCAAAAGCAAGATGTTTCCTCCACTGAACAGAGATACAAACTGAGGCCTTGGTGGGTGAGTGAAGTGGTTGTTGGGTGCACCAAAAACTAGTTCCCTGTACTGCAATTATGTTAAATAAGTGTTAAAATTACTAAAAATTTTAATATAAAACTTGGAAAATTATTGAATAGTACAACCTTCTTGATATTTACTCCAATTTTAACGAATGTAAGCCCTAGAACCGATTTCTGTATTGGCGGACTAATCTTCCAGCTGGCGAGCAAGCCAAAGCATGTCGAAACATTTTCGTAATAATTTCGTTAACCGAATTTTTGTTCGTTAACCGAATTGAATATTCTTATGGAAGGTAATTCATTAACCGAAATTTTTGTAACCGAGGCGTTCGTTAACCGAGGGACCACTGTAGTATGTACCTGTATTACACATTTAATTACATTTGAGTAAGGTACATGTAAAACACCTTTATAAAAAGTAAACAGTAATATAAATTTTACAGTACACCTCCATGGAGATGGCATGTTGTTATAGAATAAGAAAAATGAAGTGTGCGTGTGTGTGGACTTGGCAGGTCACCAGGTTAGGCTGACCCTGTAGCTACATCCCTCCAGCTCTCCCTCTACCAGGCCAAGCTGTGTTGTTGTTATTTTACAACTTGTATTTTTGGGTAGATACTGTACAGTAAAACCCTGCTTTACGCGGTTTCCACGTTTACGCAGTACCCTGCCGAACACAGAATGCTCACTTTACGCGGTGCATGTACTCTTTTACGCAGAGAGCGGCGTAGGCAGGGTGCGCAGAAGGTCGCCCAGTCATCAAAACATTACCGAGTTCTTCACCCGCCACCCACCACAGCCGGCCCAAGTCAGTGATAGTGATAATGATAGTGAGGATATGGGCTTATAAGGACTTATATGGACTTTGAGGGGTTTGACAAAGAGGCCCTGCAAGCCTCTGTGGTGGATAGTGATACAATTGACACAAGTGATACTGGTGAGGGCCAATAATTATAATCTGCCCTCTGCCTCGGAACCAACCCCCCATCCCCGTGTGCCCAGCCATCTTTTCTACTAATGTAAGTGTTAAAAAAACCTAATATTATTGTTATTTCTCTTAATTATTAATTGTGTGTGCATACCATCATAAAATTAAGAAGTTACTTTTACTACAACGTAGGTATTGTGTCTGAAAAAGTGGAGTTTAGGGGTCGGCCCGGTCTCTATTTCAATTAATCCCATATGTTATGTTGTTCACTTTACGCGTTTCTCGCTTTACGCGGGCCGCCGTGGGTTCAATTGACCGCGTGAAGTGAGGGTTCACTGTACAGTATATGTAATTTTAAAAAAAAATTATTTTTTATTTTTTGTACTGTTACATGCACACACAGTCATTTATACAGAATGTGTAAAAAATGATTATCATAAGGTCAAAAACAGGGAATAAATTATTTTTACGTCCACAGGAGTCATACGCTCATATTATTAAACAACATCTTCCCTTGAAGAGGGTCGTTGTGTTAAGTTATCCTGTAAACAGATTTTTTGTTAATGGTCCCGATAAATCCATACAGGAGTCTGTAACTATATACTGTACCAGTTTTGGGATAACATTTTCATTCCTACTACTGTACTGTACTGTACTATATTATCTTAATGCATAACATAAAAGGAAATAATTGATGTAAACTTTCCCTTAGAAGAAGTATTCAACATTCCCTTGAAGAGGGTCGTGTTTCAAAGTTTTAAATATGAGTCCTGGTACTTAACGGGGAAGTGTGGCGGTAAAATGAACTAAGTCCAATAAAATTTATTTATAATATTGAAATAAGTTAATTTTACCGCCACACTTCCCCGTTAAGTACTGTACTGCGGTGTCCCTCAGGACTCATTTAGTTTAAAACTCGGGTTTAAACACGACGACCCTCTTCAAGGGAAGATGTTGTTTAATAATACGGGTGTGAGTATTTCCACGCTAAGCTGGGCCGTAAGCCCCGCCCCTCGTCTACAATGACAAAAAGCTGATTGGTTTCCCTGTGCGTTTTACCTCCCCCCCGGACTGCGCATATACATGTACAAGCGAGTATTTATATCGACCTTTAATAATAAATATTTAAAATTTTCTAACAACCTCTCTGAAGTGATAATGCCTTGAAGTGATTTGCATTTTGATAATCCATATATTTAACATCATTTTAGATAATAACAGGTCTGCTTACCACTTGTGAACATATTTAGTATTAATTTTCTATGAACTAATTGGCTATTAGTATAGAAAAGGGGCAGGGCCTACGGGCCAGGTTAGTGTAGAAAGGGTATAGTGTTGGATCGTGGGAGAGGAAGGAGAGAGAGCGGGAGGAGATATGGTGTTGGGGAACTCAGCCTTTCTCTACCAGACCAAGGTGTGAGCTGCATTATTGTTCTTTTTCAACCTGTAGTTTCGGTTAGATATACGCATTTCATTTCACTTTATTTTTTTTTTACTGTTGCATGCACATACAATCGTTCATACTGAATGTGGGGAGGGGGGGAATCATAAGGTTAGAACCACAAAAATGAAGAAAAATTTCTTATGTTCACAGGAGTTAGCCCATGATAGTGGGAGGGGGAGGGAGGAGCACGCTCCTGTCTCCCGCGACTTTAGTGAAACGATTGCCAGATGGGAATGTAGTACAGTATTTTTTTTTTTTATTTATTTATTAGTATAATATTTATTTATTCCTCACATTTACAGAGGAATATATTAGACCATGGAGGGATAAAATGCCACACTAACCCGCACATACTCTAAACCCAATACAGTACCGTAGTTGGTGAAATAGAATCTAAGGATGGGAAATCCGTGGTTGGCGAGGGTCTACTGTATCTCAACACTGTCCTTCATTTAACAACAGTTACATTCCTGACAGGCACTCCTCCAGTTATTTTACACCATTCACTCTTTGCTGACTATACAAACTCACACTATAAGTCTATCAAATAACATTCCATGACTAAAATAGGCCTTCAACTGACCCATGATGATGTGCAGGGCAGCAGTAGTGACGTCACTTGTGCCGTGAGTACCATGACACATGGCATCAGTGCTGCCACCTTCAAATAAAATGGAGATGTAGTGACAGATGTTGACTTGGATCACCCACAGAATCTCCACCCCAGCTTATTTCACTTAAAGATTAACCACCTTAACATTGAGAGGATGAGGTTAGGTTAATGTGTTTAATTTTTAGGTAAAATAAGCTGGGGTGGAGATTCTTCAGGTGTTCTGTTTATTCTTCTCCAAAGTACAATAATTAATAGTAAGTGAATGTAATCCATTTTAATAATTACTCAACATTTAACAAACTGTGTCAGAAATTCAGTTTCCAAATCAAGAATACACTTTTTGGCCGACATAAAATTAATAAATTTGATATGTCTGAATTCAGTACAATACTGTATTACTGAACCTTGTAGAAAAGATTGAGCTATTTATACAAAAATCAAACTTATTTATAGTGTCAAATATATGTCATTTTAGATACAGATCAACTATGGCACTGGGATTACTATGCATTATCATTAGCCATATATTTTTAACAACTTATAAGAACACAAAAAGTAATTACTGTACTGTACCTGGAATGATGCCCAGCCGTAAGTGCGTAGTTGGCAGGATTATGTCAGGGTCGTGTGGGTCAATTCCTGCCTTCCTAGCTGCCGACATCAACAGCCCCATCACCAACTCATTCACCAGACCATCACCACCCACAGCCACCACACCATCCATCTCCTCCATACCCACACCATCCTCCACCAGCTGCCGCCCATGACCCCGGTACTCTGTCTGTCGGTAAATGTTGACATGATAAACAACTTCTCAGCTGTAGTGAACACCAGCTGCATAATAAACAACTTGGCTATAGTGAGCAAAAGCCTAAAATACATCTGCCATTTTTACCAAACTTTATTTCCTAATTGTTAAGATTTGGTAGAAATTAGTTGACTTGTGGTAACTTGCTATTCCATTTAAAATGTTGTTTGATCACAATATAAGCAAACTATACCTTAACTTATGTTATTCAAAGTTATAATTTGAGTACAGTACTTGCATAGTCCTTCCTGCCTTTTTACACACCAGTTTGAATTATATGTAAGCAAAATGTGTCTCACACACACACCTGTACAACAGTAGTGTGTAAGGCAGCACGGCTGAACAGTGGGGCCACCTTCTGTTTGTAGATCTGGTGGGCTTGTCTCTTCCCACCTACAGGGTTGATCACCACCAACACCTTCCTTGGCCGCAGTGTTAAACCTGTGGGTGGGGAGATGTACAGGTACATGACATAGTCTTGGGGTGATGTACAGATAATTGACTTACTATAGGAGTCCTGGGGATGACTGACAATTAGATATATGAGCTGCATTTAGACAAACAGTAGTACAGTACAAGAAATAACAACATCCATAACAACAATAAAAATAATAAAAATAAAAATATTGTAATAATAATAATAATAATAATACCAACAATAAGTGTATCGGTCCACAAGATCGTGATTATAATCTGTGTTACTGTCAGTGGGAATCCCAGGAGAGCTCTGATGGTCGATATTGAACCACAGATCTCTCTCTCTCATGCCTTTATTGTCTCTCTCTCTCTCTCTCTCTCCTAGACTAGATCATATTTAATCAAACATCATTAACTAAACTTATTCACTCCCTCCCTTCCCTCACTTTTCATCTCCCCCCTCTCAACATCCCTCCATCCCCTTTTACCCCCCCCTTTCCATCTCCTCCCTCACCTTTCATCTTCCTCCCTCCCCTCCCTTTTCATCTTCTCCTCCATCGCTCCCCTCCTTTCACCTTCTCCACCCTCTCATGACGTCTTCCCTTCCTCCCCTCCCCTCACCTTCCACCCCCCTAACTTCTCACCCCTCACCTCTCATCCTCCTTCCCCTCACACTCACTGGGTCAGATTAAGATGATGAGACACAGGAAGAGAAGAAGAGGAGTAAAGGAGGAAACAGGAAGAGAAAGAGAGATTAAACTTCAGTAAAATAAGTAAATAACTAAATATAAATGGAAAGAAATTATCTAAATACATAGACATACATATACACATACATACATACATACATACATACATACATACATACATAGACATACATACATTACACAAATATATACATAATTACATACTGTCCAACATTAATTCTTTGGGTAGTTTCATGGTACAGCTTCATGGTACAGCTTCATGATACAATTTCATGGTACAGCTTCATGGTACAATTTCATGGTACAGCTTCATGGTACAATTTCATGGTACAGCTTCATGGGTTCAGCTTCATGGTACAGCTTCAAGGTACAGTTTCAAGGTACAGTTTCATGGTAATTTTATGGTACAGATTCATGGTACAATTTCATGGTACACTAATATGGTACAGCTTCAAGGTAAAACATCAAGGTACAGCTTTAAGATACAGTTTCATGGTACAGCTTCAAGGTAAAGCATCAAGGTACAGTTCCATGGTACAGCTTTAAGATACTTTATTATGGTACAGCTGCATGGTACAGTTTAACCTGACCTTCTCCTTTACATCACTGTGATAAATAATCCAACAGTGTTCCTAGTGCTCAGCTGCTCAATGTTTCATTACAATTGATCCATCTTGTGTGTGGATACCGTGGTGCACATCACACTAGGTGGATACTGTGGTGCACGTCACACTAGGTGGATACCGTGGTGCATGTCACACTAGGTGGATACTGTGGTGCATGTCACACTAGGTGGATACTGTGGTGCACATCACACTAGGTGGATATTGTGGTGCATGTCACACTAGGTGGATACTGTGGTGCAGGTCACACTAGGCGGATACTGTGGTGCAGGTCACACTAGGTGGATACTGTGGTGCACGTCACACTAGGCGGATACTGTGGTGCAGGTCACACTAGGTGGATATTGTGGTGCATGTCTGATCTGATCTGACTTTCTGCCTCATTTGTACACAATTGAAGGGTCTCAATTGTTTCTCTTACTTGGACAACACAACATACATATAGCGTTTCTCAATGTTTAATTTTTTTAATTCATGGCTCTTTTTTATTATTTCTTTTTATAATTTCTATTAAATTTTAGTAGTACAGTACTATATTTTTTTTATAATTGTTATTTTTTTCTTAATTTTATTATTATTTTCGCCCCCCCCCCACCCCCCAGGCCTTGATGCAGGTCATTATAAAATGACCTGTGCCTGTAAAAAAAAAATCACAGGTAAACCCACCTTGTATCAGAGACCAGATAGCATGATGCCACGTCACAACAACGTCTCCGGCCGCGTGCACCAACACCACTGTCCTCGACTTCCACTTCAAGCCACGCCCTCGGTCACAGTACTCCAGCGTTAGCCCGGAGTCCATGCCCTTGCCGAGTGAGTGTTTGCATCGAGCGACGGCCAGGGGAGAGGCGTGGCCGGGCGTGGGCGTGATAGGATGGGCGTAATGACAGCATGACAGCGATGCTTTAGGACACAGCCAACATCCCAATATCTCTGCGGGACGGACTTGGCGATAACCTACAACACATAACAAAACAATTATTAACTATATACCAGGTATCTAATAACATAATTACAATAACTTAATAATAGCACAACTTAATTATAACAATTTAAATTCTAAATTACATATACAAATATTTTTTGTCTTGTAAATAGCAGATGCAATATATACATGCGAGCATCACTAAAGACACAAAGTAGGCAGGTAACAAACAGGGAGGTACTACCGCCTGGGAAGATGTTGGAAGCATAATGTGTTGTCTAATGGTAGACCCTGCTGCCATATGTGACCAAGTCCCAGGTTGATGATCTGACTTTCTGCCTCATTTGTACACAATTGCAGGGTCTCAATTTTCTCTTACTTTGTCAACACAACAAACATATGTTGTTTCTCACTCCTGACCCTTTTTTTTTCATTTTTTTATTTTTTTTATTATTATTAATATTATTATTATTACAGTGTTGTTATTATTATTATTATAATTATTAATTTATTATTTTATTTTCATTTTTTTTATTTACTATGAATTATTATTACCCCCCCCCCCGATGTGGGTCAGTGACCTGTGCCCGGTTTTTTTTTTTTACGGGCATTAGCCCACCCGGGCACAGGTCATTTTTAATGACCCACATCAAGGCCTGGGGGGCAAAAATATAAAATAATAATAATAATGATGATGATGATGATGATGATGATGATAATAATAACAATAATAAATTTAATAAAAATATATAAAATAAATAACAATTACAATAAACGAAAATAATAATAATAATAATAAAATTAATACAAATATTTAAAAATAAATAACAATTATAATAAAAAAATAATAATAAAAAACTATAAATAAAAAATTCAATAGTGAGAAATGATATATGTTTGTTGTGTTGTTAATAGTAAGAGAAACAATTAAGACCCTGCAATTGTGTGTAAATGAGGCAGAAAGACAGATCATCAACCTGGGACTTGGTCACATATGGCAGCAGGGTCTACCATTAGACAACACATTAAGCTTCCAATATCTTCCCAGGCGGTAGTACCTCCCTGTTGAAAGCTGCTTTCTCCCTACTACCTACTAAATCTTATCCACGTTTTCATTGTGGATCTACATGAAACATATATACATGTGTGTGTATATACATACAGTATATATATATATATATATATATATATATATATATATATATATATATATATATATATATATATATATATATATATATACAATATGAGCTATATCTGACCTCATCTCATATTGGCTAATACAACAAGTTTGTCCCGCACGGGGGCCAGTTTATTGTGCAGCCCTTAGACAAAATAGGAAAATTCTACCAGCAGTAGTGACGTCACCGAGAGAGTCCTCCGTCACGTCTTCCTGACCAATGGTGGAGCAGTACGAATGTAAGGCGTGCTAACTTGTTTCCAACTACTTAAGTTTACAGGTATAGTAGTTGATTTTATTCGCATTACAACTACTTTATATAATGCTGTGCGAGCTTTGAAAACTCTCCTAAATATATACAGTATGTATAACGGGTATAGTATAAAACTGAACAGATACAGTAAACAATAAATGTAAAACGAAAATGTTCAATATTTACTAATATAAAACTAAAAGTAATAAGTAAATATTGGTAAGTGTTGACATCAGTGACGATGTGCCTAAAATATAATGTAATGATACACCTAATATATATTTACAGGGTGACCAGAATAGCTTGTTTGACGTTTGACTAAATATTATAGACAATTATCAAGCAACAAGCTGTTTGTCGCCATTCCCTACATGTGATCATGAAGGATGGAGATAATGAATCTCAGTGTCTCACTTGTAGCAGTTTTCAGTTTTGTTTGTATTTGTGGGTTTATCTAGATAACTTCACACAACACTCAAAAAGACAAAAACAACAAAATCAATGAGCGAAAATACAAACACGCAACAAATAGCATACAAAAGGTCATAAACTGACAACAGCATCACTCGCTACCACCACTACTCCTACCATCTACTGACTGAATCACTTAGAATAGGCAAACTGTACTCCATGCTTTGTCAATAACTTTGTTAAACTAGACAAATCTACTCTATACTCTACATGTAAAGCCTTGTACTTTTACTGTGGCCCCCCTAAGTGTACACACTGTTGTACTTTAATGTGCTTTTTAATCCAAATGATGTACAAGACGTAGAATAAAACCCAATACTGTGTTGACATTACCTCCACAAACTCGTAACTACAACGATTTGAACATAGAGGTATTTCAATTACTGAACAGGATTTATAGTAGAAGTACGGGGATGTGGTGGCCGAAGTGGATAGCCTACACTACCTACTTGCTGGTTCGGGTACAATAAATCCTCTTTTTTAGGGAGGGGGGAGGGGAGGGCAGAAGCAACAGTGACCAACACTGCAGTCGATCACCACCTTTTTTTTTTACCCAACTGAACCAGACAACGTCACGGGAACACAAAACAAAATGCCTTCCTTGTCTTGGCCCGGGTTCAAACTCGGGGCCTTTAAAATGTAAAGGCGAGTCGCGTCTGCCATTGAGCTACGGGTACGAGAACTTAAAAGTCCACACGCCAGTAAAATGCAGTAATATTTTCCGTGAACGCCACAGCCACTTCCGCCCTTGGTATGTCGGGAAGGTGCCCACGGCGTAGTACATAGATGTCATTATTATTATTATTATTGCAGTAGAATCTATAACTTTCTAAACAAACTCTTTTAACGTGGACTAAATTTAGGTTATTAGAGCCGTTATCAGAGCGACGTAAGGCAGGGTACTGGGGCGTGCGCGTGTTATCATCACACTTGGTTTTACCTCTCAGCTGACGACCTACGGGTACTTCAAGTGATAATATTTCAAGTTAGCCTCAGATAAATGTGAGTGTCAATAGTAAGGGGGGGAGTATACAACATCCTGAGAGAAACAGAACAACCATTGATTATCTCCCGGCTCCCTCTCGGTATTCATCGTCGACGAGGTGTACAACAAAAATAACCACTGAGTAGGTCAACACCGGCTAGGCTTTATCCTACTTCAGCACAACACAACCAGTAAACATTCACAACACAACCAGTAAACATTCACAACACAACCAGTAAGCATTCATAACACAACCAGTAAACATTCACAACACAACCAGTAAACATTCACAACACAACCAGTAAACATTCATAACAACACCAGTAAACATTCACAACACAACCAGTAAACATTCACAACACAACCAGTAAACATTCACAACACAACCAGTAAACATTCACAACACAACCAGTAAACATTCATAACAACACCAGTAAACATTCACAACACAACCAGTAAACATTCATAACAACACCAGTAAACATTCACAACACAACCAGTAAACATTCACAACACAACCAGTAAACATTCATAACAACACCAGTAAACATTCATAACAACACCAGTAAACATTCACAACACAACCAGTAAACATTCACAACACAACCAGTAAGCACAATAACACAACACAAACAAACGCCTGGGAACACCACATGCTGCTGGGGTTACTTAATATGGTGACCTGTAGTGTAATGGTCAGTGTGTGTGTGTGTTCATTATAAGGTAAGCCATGTCCCAGGTTAGTTAAGGAGATCAGTATTATTTAATATAATTTAGTTAGTTTAGGTATTGCAAGTCCCTCTCTCTTCCTCCACCCCTTCCTCTCTCTCCACCACCACTTCTCTCTCTTTTTCCCACCCTTCCCTTTCTCTCCTGCCCCTTCCTCTCTCTCTCCCGCCCCTTTCTCTCTCTCTCCTGCCCCTTTCCTGTCTCTTCTCCCCACCCCTTCCTCTCTCCTTCTCCACCCCTTCCTTCTCTTTGGATGTGAAATACACTAAATGCGGAACAAGACACTGCAGGTGGCCTTGTATTACCTTCCTTCAGTCAACGCTGTTCGTCAGGGAGAAAGTGTGTCGCCTACCACCTCCACTACCTCGCTGGTCTACCAGTCACTCAGTTATTACATACACTGACTAGTACCTTGTGTTTACTACAACACTAGTACTGCATGTTCACTACAACACTAGTACTGCATGTTCACTACAACACTAGTAATACATGTTCACTACAACACTAGTACTACATGTTCACTACAACACTAGTACTACATGTTCATACACTAGTAATACATGTTTACTACAACACTAGTAATACATGTTCACTACAACACTAGTACTACATGTTCACTACAACACTAGTAATACATGTTCACTACAACACTAGTACTATATGTTCACTACAACACTAGTACTACATGTTCACTACAACACTAATACTACATGTTCACTACAACACTAGTACTACATGTTCACTACAACACTAGTACTGCATGTTCACTACAAACACTAGTACTATATGTTCACTACAACACTAGTAATACATTTCACTACAACACTAGTACTACATGTTTACTACAACACTAGTACTACATGTTCACTACAACACTAGTACTGCATGTTCACTACAACACTAGTAATACATGTTCACTACAACACTAGTACTACATGTTCACTACAACACTAGTAATACATGTTCACTACAACACTAGTACTATATGTTCACTACAACACTAGTACTACATGTTCACTACAACACTAATACTATGTCTATTTACATAAATCAGTACTACATGTTCACTACAACACTAGTACCATGTTCACTACAATACTAGTACTGCATGTCTACTACAACACTAAATACATGTCACTAAACACTAGTACTACATCATACACTAGTAATACATGTCACTACAACACTAGTACTATATGTCCACTAACACTAGTACTACATGTTCACTACAACACTAATACTACATGTTCACTACAACACTAGTACTACATGTTCACTACAACACTAGTACTACATGTTCACTACAACACTAGTACTACAACACTATGCCTGCATGTTCACTACAACACTAGTACTATGTCACTACTACAATACTACATGTTCACTACAACACTAGTACTACATGTTCACTACA